GTATATGCCCAAAAAGCCCACGAAATAGGGTTCCAAATTTTTCGTCAGAGCCGGAAACTCTGGAATAGTATACGATTTCTTTCTATACGATGGTGCCAACAGTTTTGATGATGCTGAATTTACAGAATGGGAAAATATCTATTTTGGTGTTGGCGGAAAAACCGTTATAAAACTATGTGAGACCATCAAGGATCAGCCTTTGTCAACTGTTTATTTTGATAACTGGTTTTCATCTCTGAAATTAATATATCACTTACGCAATGAGTATGGAATCCTATCTCTGGGTACTATAAGAATAGACAGGCTTCGAGGACAGTCAATTGTGGCTGATAAAGTGCTGAAAAAAAGAGGAAGAGGAAGCTATGAAATGATTTCTGATAATAAAAACAAACTCTCAATTGTAAAATGGGTTGATAATGACTGTGTAAACCTAGCAAGTTCATACTGCGGAGAAGAGCCTGTTTCTACTATTTTATTTACAACAAAAAAATGGGAGAAATTGATAAAGCTGATATGCTGATATCTTTATATAGAATTGCTTTGAAAAGTAAAAAATGGTACTTGAACATTTTCAGTCAACTCATCGACATTACTTTGAATAATGCATGGCTTGTTTACAAACGTGAGATGCAGGAACTAGGTGAAATTTCAATACCACTAAAAAAATTCGACTGCAAATTTCGCATGTTTTATTGAAATCTGGCAGATGCCTGTACATTACAGTTGATTCAGAAAATATACCAGCGATCACAAAACCAATCATTCCGAGACCACCACCGGAGATGCGACTTGATGCACTCAACTATCTTCCTGACATTGGTACGCAAGAACGATGTCGTCTGTGTACTAAAGGTAAAACGATGATGAAATGCATCAAATGTGAAGTAAGATTGTGTCTTACACAAAATAAGAAATGTTTTTTAATATTTCATACCCAAAAATAATTAATTGTATAAAAATAATAATACTGTTGTGTTTGAAAATATTTTTATTAATTTTCTAAAGCCTTATTAGTTGTAATTATTATTGCACCCGTTTTATTTATTAAATATTCTGAATATACAAATATCCAGCAAAAAAACATACTTGATTGTAAAGTAAGCAGTGATGTCCATTTTATGGGACATTAAAAAAACCTACAAATTAAATCTTTTCCATTACCTTTTTGTACTAATACTAAATTACATCTCTAATTATACCTAAACACCAATTATTCATCTAAAATTTAAAGTGTAACGCCGAAATGTAAGAGGGCTCTTAGCGGAAAAAAACCTTAGATGAACCACCATAAAAGCATTTTTAACCTCCCGGAAATTTCTAAATGTGTTTGATGGTATTTTTACGAGCCTAGGGTTCGTGACAATAAAAACTGCCGATTGAATGACAAAAATTGACACTTAAATTACTGAACACAAATTAAAACTTAAATCACACTAATAAATAATCACACTTAACACTTTTAATTCACTTTCTTTCGCTCCGAAAGCTTCGCTTGTATCGCTAATTCAATACTGCTCCGGTCGCGGCCTTCAACGGTTTTATATATGTTTTTCCAGCGAAACATCTAGAATGTTCCAGCAAATACCGGTTCCAACCGACTAGATGTAGAAAATTCGAGTGTGGACTTTTCCAGAAACCTCTCCTCGCTCTGCTCCCCGATACTAGATGGCGCTAGAGGCATCAATTATGGCTTGCAATAGTATGAAGCAGCAAAACAGTTAGGAAAAATTTTACTACAATTTAATACATCCTACTTTAATATTTAATAAACACATATTACATGTTGAAGTCATCATCGTCATCATTACAGCCCATAACAAGTCTACAGCTGGACATAGACTTGGACACTTCAAGTATAATAAAAACCTTTCTTCGTTTTTTTCATGTTTTAAACAATTCGAAACATAACTTTGGGAAGATATCAGTGACAGTATGACGGAATTTTACCACTGCCCTCTTCCTCGACCAATGCTGAGCTCACAGACTAAGAAGAGTTTCTGCAGCTCGGATATTAATGTTATGAAAACAAAACAGTGAAGTAGGCTGTATATTGAGTCAATTGCTGGATTGTGACATTGTAAAATAGTACTACCAATTAATTACGCTAATTATTATGACCTCGGAACTACTTAAAAATAACTGCAGCTACGGCCGAAGTATATTGGTATAATCTTAAAGATCATAAAGAAAGGATTTAAGGATAAGTAAATTTTTAACCGACTAGAAAAAAGGGAGGAGGTCAACAATCGATGTAGGAATGTTACGTAATACCTTCAGCAACTATGAACCGATTTCAATGATTCTTTTTTATTAAATAAGTTATACTTCAGAGGTGGTCCCTTATAAACACCAGTAACTACATCACCAGTAATAAGAGTAGCTATAGTTGCGGCACGCTATGATGGCCGTTTTGACATATTACAATAGTGATGTGAAATGTCAATTTATTCTCGAAAAAAATATAATGAAACTATAAGTTTTATTGCAAGTAGTACCTGATTAAAAAGGTTTAAAACAAAAATTTAAATGCTTACTTAATATATTTGAACGATCTGAATATTGGAATGAAAATGAATATACATACATTATATGCACACAAGAAACAAATAATTACAAAAAGAGACCAAAAAAACGTGCCGTATATTTAATCACTTCGTCCTGTATTCATGTCGTCACTGCTATCATCACCTACATTACTTATAAGTTCGTTTTCTAAAATATTATCTACGTTCACATCTCTTTCAAAATCTTCCCTTATTAATTTAACAGTTCTATTCACAACCTTTTCCTAGTCTCTTTTAGTCACATGTTCACAAGCTTCTTCTAATATTTTTAGCATTTTTGTTGTGGTAAATGAGGGTTCTGTATTGTGTCTTGCAGCATATCCCTTAATTTGAGTCCTCACCACCTCAATTGCATTATATTCACAATGGTAAGGCGGTTACTGTATAATTCTGCATCCATGTCCTAACGCTATTTCATCAATGACGTATCGTATCTTGGTTGGTTTGTTTTCTTAAAAGACGTACTAATTCCGCTTTTAACACATTTATATTTGCATCTACGCCATTTTTGGAGCCATGTGACGATTTCAGGTTTCTTTTGGGATTGAGCAAGTGGATTGTCAATTTGTATCGAGTAGTATGGGGCGTTGTCCATAATTATAATAGATAGTTCAGGAAAGTTACACAACATTGAGGTAAGCCATTCAATAAACTTTTCTCCATTCATTTCTTCATGATAGTCTCCAGTGTTTTTGACGCAAAAGCCATGAAAGAACCTCCGACAAAACCGTTGATGATTCCGGCGTGACAAATTATAAGTCGCGACCCTTTTCCAACAGGAACTGTTGATGTAGATACTGCAGTGTCATTGGTCTAAGAACGGTTTACAGTATGGTTAGCATTAAGCCATGTTTCATCCAAAAACACAACATTTTGCCAATTTTCAATCTATTTCACTTGCCGTAAAAAAGTATATCTTGCCATCACGATATCAAATCTTTCTATCAGTATTTTGCGTTTGTTATATTGTTTGTATCGAAATCTAACGGTCTTCTTCGTTAAAGAACTTTCCCCCGAAGAATAATCCAGCTTCCTTAAGTGATTGCACTAACTTTTTTCTTGTTGGATACTCCTTTCGTAAATAGTAACCGTACACATGTCTTCAGATAGCATCGGCATCAAAGCTATCGATGCCTACGACTGGTTTTGCTCGTTTTCTCTTTTTTGGTGTGTGAAGTTTATTTTCTTCTGTGCCAGTCTCGCCATACTTTTCCTTAGTTATTCGTCTAACAGCTCGTTGTCCAATATTAAGTACATCAGCTGCGCTTTCAACCAATGACGTTATAGGTAAAATTGGCCCTCCATTTTTAGATTCACGATCGAAATAGTACGAAGGCGTACAACGAACTCACGTGTCTGACTGTTGAAACAGTTCAGAAAAGGCTTAAAAAGAGTTCAAATTAACGAGCAAGGGTCAATAGTACTACAGCATCAATATCCGAAATCCAAAGCCAGGTCAAAACTATACCATCTCATCAGCGCAGTGCACTCACAGTTCGTACTTTTCGAAGCAACGTCAAGTCGAAACTGCTTTGTTTTGCATAGAGCATTGACGCGAGTTTGCCGGAAGTAGTAGTTGGGTGGCCAGCGGTCCTATGTGACGATCGTATTAAATTTCATTTTTTTAATTTTGAATTTCGAAAAACAAATACCGAGTTGTGTAATAAATAAGTACCCCAATAATTATAATCTTATAAAAAAATGTTCGCGGGACCCTAATATATATAGTTGAGAAATTAATGTAATAAATAAATTTTGTGTCCTAAAATAATAAATTCGATACATTTTATGACTAACTGCCGTCACTATTGACAATAAAGAACAGCAATTTGCTTCTTCAAATGTAATTATAACTAATACGAAACTTCATGAGTGGACAAACGTCAAAACGACCATCATAGCGTGCCGGTAGTATAGGTAATACTGTTAATACTTAATGATAACGAAGAACCAAAAAGTTGTCTTGTTGAACCAAAAAAACCAAAAAAGTTACTTAAAAAAAGTGAAAGCCAACTTCAAACCGCTTAAAACAAAATAAAATATCCATCCAATATAAAATATTTTGGTGTCATTTTACAGAACATCTAACATCAGCTCAGCCTTAAGATATAATCCTCATCAACTATCTGCCATTTCAAGCTGTCGGCAAAATATCCAAAGAACTTCGCAATGTAACGCATCAGCATATTAAAAATATAAATCAGTGTAAGCTGTATGGTCTAAGACTTTTGCCTTTCTTTATTAGACATTTAGAGATTCGTAGCAAAAACAAAACTTTCCTTTCACTGTTTAAAAATAATAAAAAAATTTATAATAATATTGTTCGTATACGTATTTTTCGTGCTTTACTTAGTAAAAAGTGGCATATTTGTCATCGTCAATCATTATGTATTAAACTTAAGAGAATAGAGTGTGCTCATTGATCCATCTTTTAAAATGGGTTTGGATTTTGATGTTTTAGAATTCTGTAAAAAGTTAAGACAAAACAGGCCACCACCCTATCAGTGCCCTCTTGAAAAGTGTGATAAAGTTTACAAAAGTTTGTGCGGATTACAATATCACCTAGTTAATTATGATCACGATAACCCAACACCGGCAACTCCTACAGTTGTACGTAATATATGTCGGAAAAAAGGTAGAGCTAGGGCTGCAGTTCCAACCGGTGATATTGCTCTTCAAACTCCTCCCAAAGAAGCCTTAACTTTTGCCGAAGCTCAGAAAGTTGTTCAGTTTGAGATTGATGGTAAGATAAGTAGAATACCGATTGACCAACCTCTGCCAATAATTTCACTAGAAGAATGGGAAAAAAAGAATGCAGAATTAGAGAAACCGCTTCCTGTTGTGGAACCGCCTCCGGAACCTCAAGTCAAACTGCCAGAAGCAAGCTTTAGAGTAAATATTATTATATTTTGTCATTTTTACATAGTTTTAGAAAATTGTAAAAAAAAAGTTGTTAATGCTTTTTTAATATAGTATCTAGCAATGAGGTCAATCCACTTTTTCTGCAACCAAAACAGCGCCACTTTCAAATGTGATGAAATATTTGACAGATTTTGTAGTGGGGAAGTTTATTTGTTAGGAAAATTATTTTATATTGTATAATAATTAGATTAGAAACGAATAAGCCAAAAAGTAGAAAGAGTAAGAAAAAATGTGCAAAAAAATTATGAGCATACTATTGGGGCATTGTTTTGTGTATTAATACAACACTAGAAACTGATAAAAATTTATTTAAAACTAATTTATCAATTAAATGACAATGTGTAACAAAAAAACTTCACCTCAGACACAAATAGCAACTTCTGGTGAATGTAAGATTATTACCCGTCATGGATTTGGTTGGAAAAGAATTGAGAAACTCATAAAATCTGGAAAATTGTTTGTTTTCCTTAATGTCTTTATTAGAACCTCATTATTGTATTTTCTCAATAAAATAGGACTGATAAATAAAGCTTGCTGTTGCTGCTCGCACAGACTCAAGGATGCATGTCACTGGTGGCAATACTTAATGAAACATCTATACAGTGTCCCTGATGGTTGCAATCAGTTACCAGAATACTTTACTTTAATGAGATAAAATAGTTAGCTATACAGATGCCTGTACATATAGTTTCTTTATGTTCTTGGCCATGGCGCCAGTAGTAACAGAGCCAAAAATGGCTGTTATAGCTCTTGTTATCGTATATAGATAGTATTTGCACCAGCACGTGAACCTGATAAAGTAGTCATGTCGATTCGTAAGCCTTCTAGGAAGAAAAATTCCTAAAACTAATACAAACCGACCTATTGAGATAGATCCTAGAACTAATATGAACCAGTGCCCCTATTATCTCATTCCAGTCTGGAATCTAATTCTTATTGTATATTTACTTTGTGTAGAGTTAAGTTTTCGGAAAAAACGAGAATTGTCCAAAAATGCGGGGCGGCAACTATATTTTTAGTGATAAAGTTGTGATTTTGGGTAAAGCTGATGTGGAAAATAGACGCGTACTCTGCAAAAAATAAGGAAGATTTAATTGAAAACATATTCTTTAAAAATACTTTTGCTATTTCACTTTCTTTATTGCCTTCCCGTAGATATTGTAATAATATTGATAAACTTTTGTACCTGTCCTAGATAACCAACATTTTTATCCTCTTTTTGTCTTTTAACTTACTATCTTTGATTCATTGCATAGTAAACACTATATTGCTTTTAAGATAAGTGCTAACCAAGAGGGGCAATTCAAATAGGCAAGAAATACCAATGTGTGGAGTGCCAGCATACTAAATTTGATTCACGCTTTGCATTTTGCTGTATCTGTATTATATCTCCAAAAGACCCTTTTTCTTGTTATTTTTTTAATCTATAGTTAGCATTCAAAACCACATTCGAAAAGTATCTCATATATAGAGCATTCTGTTTGCTTAAAATTAGCAATGACTAAGAGATTTTGTGGTATTTCTCTATCATAATTTTTGCTATCCTATCCTATGCATATTCTAATCAACAAACATCAAACAGCCAGCATGTCAGTAAAATTGCTATGCAACTAGCAGTTATATGGAGATTTTTTTAGTTTTAGTAACTTTGCCTATCATATATATATATATATATATATCTCATCATATATATATATATATATATAATATAGGGCAAAGAGACAAATGAGCACACAGTCTACCTGATAGTAAGTGGTTGCTGTGGTCCATAGACATCTACATCTATTCCCAATTACAAGTCAATATGCAGATGCGTTGTCACCCGTGACGGACTAAGATGGAATGTCTCGTTTCCAGTAAAAAGGGTCTCCGGTTCTAAACGCTCACCATACGAGAAAAGCAGCAGTCTTAAGATGTTATTTTATGCTGGTATTCTGTGAGAGTGTAGTTCTTTCTCAGTCGGGCCGACTCATTTGTGAGCTACAACTACAACTGTAATACTAATATAGCTGCAGTGTGGCTCTACCATGTAAGAACAATGAGGAATGCAGAAACAATGATTTTTATGTATCTTATACAGTTATAATATGATAAATTACTTAACAAAGACAAATGTACTAAGGATGACTATTGCATAAATACCTTTCAATATTTCAGCCCCCAGCAGTAACACACATTTGGCAATATTGTACAAGATTTACTAGAACCTGTATAATTGATTTGTAGAACATGTGTTTGTATGGCTTACAAATAATTGTTCTGGGTATAGATGTTTATCCTTGTTCTATTTATGCATCTAAAACACCACAATACAGGAGATATTTTTATTGTGGGCATAAAAAGTAAAATCAAAGAGAAGAACTGCTCTGTTGTACTGTACCAATTCATGTTGGCGAACTTCACACATCTTCCAAAATATTGAAAAGAAAAACATTATTTTTATTAGTAACATCTGACCTATATTAATCAAGTCTTCTATTGCTTGTAGCTCATTCCAGATTATAATGAGAGAGTTTGTGATGCTCCTCCAAGGCCGAATGCCTATATTCGTTTTATAGAAAAATCTGCTGAGGAATTGGATGGAGAAGTAGAGTATGATGTTGATGAAGAAGATACTGCGTGGTTGACCATTATCAATAAGAGCAGAACTAAACAAGGCTTGCCTCCAGTTTCAGTTGACACCTTGGAATTACTCATGGATAGATTAGAGAAGGAATCTTATTTCCAGGTACAACTTTAATTGATTCATTTTTTACAGAATGCTTAATAACATCAATATCATCATCATTATTACAGTCTTTCACAAGTCCACTGCTGAACATAGGCCAATAATATGAATGATTATAATTCATTATTGGACATGAGCACTTTGCAGTTACATGTTTCACCTTAACTGTACAATACCTACAATTGATTTAAAGGTACAAAGTTTTATTTAACAAAAATAAGACTAGTAGAAGATAGCAAGACTAGACTAACGAAAGAAAGATCTATCTCATGTCTTATTTTTGTTGGTCTAATCCTAAAATATATTATGCTTTTTGAAATTATATTTTACTTATGTAAATTGTATGATATTTTAAATTTCAAATACTTCTGGTGTTTAAATGTAAACTTTAAGGATCTACAAAAGATCTAAAAATATTTCATTTTATTAATATTATATTATTTCGACTAATATTTAATTCACTATTAGTTTTTAACAAATATGTCATTGAAACAAAACGCAAACATTATGCAGTTGCATATTTGTCTAATCAAAGATCTTATGCTAATTATTTTGATCAGACAAATATGCAACTATCCTATGCTGGAACAAGTGCTTCATATCTATTATAAATTCAATGCTTGCTAAATACTAATATTTATTTATTTATACTTTAATGCACAAAGTGGTACATATTATGGGAACTTAATGGGGCATTCTCCAACAACCAAGGATAAGCAGAGATAGACATGTAAGTCTGTGTCTGACATATAAGACTGTGGCTTTGTGGCATTATACCACTGTCTAATGGAGCTCATGAGATATTACTGGGTGTTTGCATAATTGAGCCTTATGACATGCATGGGGCAAAAGGAAGTGATGGATTCCACCACTCTTTTTACTGGAAATATGGCATTATATCTTAGTCTTCAGGGTTAACAACACATCTTCAGTTTGATTTGTCTATGGGTCACAGCATACCCTTACCATCAGATGGATTATAGTGTGTTCTTTTGTCACCCATATTCTATAAAAAATATCCATTATCTTACAAAATAAAGCTTGCTTCATTGTACAGGACAACAATGTGTGTAGGATTCTTTTATGTTAAAAGAATTCTACACACATTCTATATAAAAAATTTTTTCAGGCAACACAAAGTGGGCAACAAACAGCTGCCACAGTGGATGAGGATGCAGTATGCTGCATATGTATGGATGGTGAATGTCAGAATACAAATGTTATACTCTTCTGCGACATGTGTAACCTTGCAGTTCATCAGGACTGCTATGGGGTAAGCAAATGTGTGCTTAAATTCGCCTCATTTTTTCCATTAGTGAACTTCAATATTCTGAATTATATTCATTATATAAAAGAAACAACTTCCATCAGCAGTTTTATTCCATTAAAGACATTCTTCTTATGTGGATAGAACAGATTTGCACATGCATAAAAAGCTGTGTGATTTATCTCCTTGAGTGAACAAAATAGTTGTATTTTTGGTCACTCTTGAGTATAGCCATTCAGTTGCAGTTTTGTAAAAATAAGGCTATGATATATGTCATTAGTGAATAAAAAATCGGCATGAACAAGCTGTGCTCGACTGTTTATTGAAGTTGAATTACTGGAATGTAACTAGTGCAGTCAACTTTAAATTAATAAATTTTAATTTTTTATATATCAAATTGCCCATAAGCCTTCTATTAAAGTATTCTTTTATTCAAACACTGTGTTCAACTTTAGACACCTTTATTTCTAAACCATAGATCACTGATTCACATAGACATAGATTCTTAATATAACACCAGACTAATTTTGCTGCCCAATATTGATACTACAACACCTTCTGCGTATAGTTTACCATAAAGCATGGATCTGCATCTAAATGGACCATGAACCTGCTGGGTGCGCAGTACTTGCGTGTTTGTTGACGCGAAAATGCTACGATGTATACCTTTACATTGCATGTATCCTTAATTTCAATGTTCAAATCTAATGTATAAATATTCCCTTATCCTATCAATTTCCCTAATTTCCCATCTTCACCTCAGGAAGATTGGTATGCAACACATCCTACGAAGAAAATCGACGTCAGCGCCACGCTATAACTTCGAAAACGATAGAACACCCCTGACGCGTATGGCATGCCACTCTCTCTTAATAAATATTGCAATGATAATTTTGCTTTAAACTCAAAGACAGAACGTTAATTCTAAGTGTCAGGTTGTGTTATTGTGTAATACACCATGAAAACTAACCTGCATCGAGCAACAGAAAAACTGCAAGAAATTCTGTTAGCCTAGGAGGTACGTGGTTCTTTCCTGTAAAAGAGGAACATCTTAAGACAATTGATGGAATCAGGCGTTACTTTGCGGAAATCCATTATAATAAAAATATTAGTAACTCTGCAACATTTCGCTAACTAAATACAATGAATTTAGTTGTCATTGTATTTAATTGTGCATTTGCACCGGACAAGTTTGAGGCTGCCTTTCAAAATCTTTTCCTCTGAAACATACTGAAAGTTTCATGAAAATGGGATCTAACAATTGTTAAAGTTAAACCAATAAAAGTATTCTATGCCATCACCCACTGGGAGTCATATTATAAGATTTTAGGTAGAATTTGTCGTAATCCACACACTCTACAGGTGCACCATGTTACGTAAATTAACAATTAAACATATTGTTATGACCTTGTGGTTTGTGACATTAAAAACTGCCGATTGAATTACAAAAATTGACACTTTAATTACAGAACATCAATTACCACTTAATACACACACTAATAATAATAATAATGTCCTCCAGACCGAATTTCGACCACGGCGGGCCGCCTTAAAAGAGGCTATATAGCCTTCGGCGCAGGACAGGATTATAGTGCCCAACTGTATGCGCAGGCACAGGTGCACTCTGTTTTCCCTCACTCTCGTAATCCGATGGGACGGTAAACCGACACGACCGGGAGAGAGATCAGGCGCAGGATCAACGGCTTTACGTGCTTTCCGAGGCACGGGGGTGAGACACCGCCAACTTCCTGACTCCGGGCAGTTACTGAGAATTTCTTGACAGAAAAACTCAATAGTTGATTTTTTGGCATGACCCGGGATTCGAATTCGAACCCAGGACCTCATGATCAGCAGACGCACTACTACAACCACTAGACCAACGAGGCAGTACACACACTAATAATAAAACACAATTGTACTACTGATCACTTTAGTTCGCAGTTATTTCGCTTCGAAGTTCGAAGCTTGAATCGCCAATTGATTACTGATTCGGGTCGCGGTCCTTACGTGCCTTACATAGGGCCTCTTCTACTGAAACATCTAGAATGTTCGAATACATACCGTTCCCGACTGACTGGATGTAGAAAGTTCTAGCATGGAAATTTTTAGAAAGATTTCGACTCTCCTAGTTCAGCTACTCGATACTAGATGGCGCTAGTAGTAACTAATGTCGCCACGTACCAAACATTAATTATGGCGCGCTACAATATTCTTACAAATCAGAATGAAGCAAGCATGTTTGGCTCGAAGAATTACATTATTCCTGCCGACACGCAAAATACGCGCTTAGACGTAGAGTTGCGGAAAACGGCCCGTCGTAAACTAACTAACTAACATATTCTTGTAGGTACCGTATATTCCAGAGGGACAATGGTTATGCAGACGATGTTTGCAGTCGCCGTCGCGTCTTGTTAACTGCGTGCTATGTCCAAATACAGGAGGCAAGTTGTTAAATTAACTAGCTTATTCATTGTTTTTTCATGTATTCAATTATGCAATGTTGATAAATTGGGTACTATCGTAAAATCGGGTTAATAAGGCTTCTACTTTTATTTTAAATTATCCCAAATTGAATGTGATTTATGGGAAATAACGTTTTTGCCTACCGATCGACCCCTACGAATTTGTGCGTGCGCAGTAAAATCAGTTAAAATAATGCACCACGCATTTTTAGTTAAGTATAATTTTTAGTTAATTTTTCTTCACCATTTGCCTATATTATTTATTCTGAACTTTATGTGGAAGTTTAGCCGTTTAGTGCATAAAAATCCTGTGTACTAATATTTTTAATTTTTGAAAGCCACTGTTAACTTTCTGCAAAAATATCAAGAAAAATAATATTGTTTTTAGGCGCTTTCAAGCAAACAGACCAAGGTACCTGGGCACATGTGGTATGCGCTTTGTGGATACCTGAAGTCCGTTTTGCCAATACCGTGTTTTTGGAGCCTATCGGTAAGTAAATTTTTTTTAATCAATTTAAAATGTAAAAGTGAAATTGAGATTGATTATAGTATATAAAACTAGCCACACATATAAAAAGAGCGTAGTTGTAGAATAGAAGTTTTTGCAAAGTTTTTTGGAGCCTATCGGTAAGTAAATTTTTTTTTTGAAATAGATGATATTAATAAAACTAGCCACACATATAAAAAGAGCGTAGTTCCGTAGAATATGTAGTGTGTTTAGGCATAATTGTAACAATTTGCAACTTGCAACGGCGCGCGTCTCGAGCGGGGAACCGGTTTGACGGCGGGGCCGGGGGGACTGATTTGTGCCGGCGGCCGCGCCTACGAATCTAGAACCTTCTTAGTGAGCGAGCCGTGTCGATTAGAGGTCGCAAATTTTTTGATAAGATTTGCCGCGTCGCATATCGACGGCCTCTATTGTGTTGTATTTTGTCGTTAATATACGTGACAACGAGGCTTTTTGAGTTTTGATTGACCATCTTAACTTCGATTGCTATTAATTTGCGTCGACGAGTGGCTTGTGTAGTAATTAAAGTTAAAATAAATTAGTTAAAGTGTACGAAGGAATTTTGCTTACGTGTGGAACGTTAAACTTTGTGATCCGGAGATCGCGTTATCTTAGATTATAGTTTGTGCTAAGTGACGCTAGACTTGAGCTCCGATAGTGGTGAGCGCCTTGTGGAGCAGTCAACGCACGTGTGCTGCTGAACGATTACCTTGGTGACGTCAGGTTACATTATACACTTTCGTACACAACACACACATACCATTTACTTACCCCTGACAGTGCCTTGTGGTCGACACCACGTCCGGAGCTCGGTAAGTGTGTGTTTGATTATAGCAGCCGTTATAGATTAATTATCCAGAGGCCATTTGGGCCCTCCCCTCTGTTGCTCGTCGAGTTGGATTACTATGGGCCCTAGTCCAGTCGACCTTTGTCGGGGTAACTGAGGGCCGTAACATTGCTGGTAGCAGAGCGTGGTTGATTGTTTCGACAATCACGCCCGGCCGGTGGTGTCAGATTGGTTTGAGAATTGATGTCAGAATTGGTGTCAGAAGTGGGATAAAATCATGCCGATTTTACCTAAGGAGGAAACGGAGGGTGTCCGTACCCGCAGTCAACGACAGCATGAGACGGATCAGAGGATATTTGGTGGTGCAACGCCGCAGACTTCGGAGGGCCAACTGCCAGCCACGGAGGCTGCGGGTCCGTCAGTAGCTCTTACATCTGCAGCACCTGACTTAGGTGGTCTGATGGCGATGCTACAGGAGCAGCGGCAGCGCGGACGAGAGGAACAGGCCCGTCTGTTGAAAGAGCAGCAGGAGGAACAGACTCGCCGACAGGAGGAACAGGCTCGCCGACAGGAGGAACAGGCTCGCCGACAGGAGGAACGGGTCCGTCAGTTGAAAGAGCAGCTGCAGAGCGGACAGGATGAACAGGCCCGTCGATTGGAAGAGCAAATGCTCCTCATGAAGGACCTTCACGCTACCTTCGGGAAGGAGATAAACGAGGTGAAGGATAGGGTTGCTCAGCATGATAACCGCCTGTCGGAAACTGAAACCCAAATCGACCAAGTGAACAATCGGGTTGACAACGTGGTGGCTGACGTGAAGAAAACGCTGGATGACCTCAAACTGGGGGATGCAATTACAGCTCCCGTAGTAGCTGCAACACCTTCGCTACGTGGGTTCAAGGTGCCACCGTTCGACGGGACTTCTTCCTGGTCGGTCTACAAAATCCAGTTTGAAGCTGTTATGAAGGCGAACGGCTGGAATAAAAGTCAGACCATGACTGCTCTCACATTAGGCCTGCGCGACCAGGCCTTTCTTTCTGTTTTCTTTAGTTCTGGAAGCTCTCGGTGAGGAAATTACTTATGAGCAACTCCTTGAGGCATTGGAGGCGATATGGCGACGCTCACCTGGAACACGTCTTTCGTGCGCAGCTTAAAGATCGCGTGCAGCGCATCAACGAAAGCCTGCAGCAGTGGGCTCTAGAGGTGAAGAAGCTGGTGCGGAAAGCATACATGTCTGTACCTGCGCTTATTGAAGGGAACCTGGTGCAGACATTCATTGACGGCATCCGCGACCTGGAAGTCAGAGCTGCTGTGAGGCTGGGGCACCACGAGACGCTTAAGGACGCCTTGGCCGATGCACTGGAGGTAGAAGCCGTGCGGCAGGATCATCGTTCCCATCGCGTCAGGCAGATCGCAGCAGCTACAGTTCGCGACCGCAACAAAGGATTCAGCCCTAGGTGCTATGTCTGTGGGGAAAAGGGCCATCTACGATCCAGCTGCCCTAAGCGAACCCTAGAAAGGGAAGGTGATCGATCTCGAGAGGGTAGTGCAGCTAACGGCACCGCCTGGCGGTGGCCAACATCATTCCCCTCACGTTAGGGAGGTTGCAGCAGTTCGCGACCACAATAAAGGATACAGCCCTAGGTGCTATGGCTGTGGGGAAAGGGGCCATCTTCGATCCAGCTGCCCTAAGCGAACCCTAGAAAGGGAAGGTGAACGATCTCAGAAGGGACGTGCGGCTAACTTCACCGCCCAGCAGCAGCCGGGATACGACTTTACTATCAGACATCGCAGCGGGAAATCTCATGGCAACGCAAATGCATCGTCAAGAAGACCTTGCCCTGAAGATCGGAAACATTGTACTAGGCAAGAGAGTAAGGAAGTGGTATCCGTGAGGATGCTCAGGACAGACCACCTCAGCAACGAGTGGAAGGACAGCCTACGACATGCACAGCAGGAAGATCCGGCCATCAAGCCGATTCTGGAATGGATGAAGGCCCGTGCTACCAAGCCTAAGTGGAGCGACGTCTCAGCGATGAGTTCAACCACGAAAAGCTATTGGGCCCAATGGGACAGCTTGCTGATTCAGGATGGAGTCTTGTGCCGTAAATGGGACAATGGTCGAGGAGACAGCTGTCGTTTGCAAATGGTTGTTCCTAAAGCTAAAGTGCCGAATGTTCTACAGCTGTGCCATAATGGTCGTTCAAGAGTCCATCTGGGAGTTAAACGAACTCTGCTGAAGGTCCGAGAACAGTTTTACTGGGTCCATTATCGTGACGATGTCGAGGCTTGGTGTCGTACATGTACAAGTTGTGCGGCCGTGAGGGGACCTCAGACACGTAGTAGAGGAGCACCGAAATTGTACAATGTTGGTGCACCATGGGATAGGACAGCCCTTGACATTGCGGAGCCGTTACAGAAAGGCGCACGAGGGACTCCTAAGATCGTCCATGTGGATCGCCTGGCGCATTATGGGGCCGATAATGCTCGGGACGAGCATGTCTTAGGAGGGGGCAGTGTTGTGCGGCTAAGTTGACATCTGGCACTAGCGCCATCTAGTTTCGGGTAACGGAGCGAGGGAAGAGCTTTCCAGAAAATGACATCCACTAATCTTTCAACCGACAGCGCCATCTGTTGTCAAAACGAAGAACTAAGCTTTTAGAAGCTGACTCTCGAACTTTCGGCGCTTTGTCGATTGGTGCGCGTATTTACTTGAATGTTCTGGATGATTCGGTACTAATGTGTATTTATAGGCGCTGCAAGGTGCGATCGGGGAAGTATTGAATTTGGCGAGACAAGCGAAGCTTCGGAACGGAATAAATTGAATCAGTGTGATTAATTTTTAGTGTTTTAAGTTTTAATTAGTGTAAAGAAAATTAAAGTGTTAATTTAGGTATTTCTATCGGCAATTTTTATTGTCACGAACCTCAAGCTCGTAACAATATTATAATAACCCTTTTTATACAAACTTAATTTAATTACATTTTTGAACTTTGTGTATGATAAATTTTGTATATTTTCTGGGATTTTGTTGTAAAAGCGTATACATCGCCCCAAGAATGAATTACTGACTGGGTGGAGTCGAGTAACTGGTACCACTAGCTTGTGTCTGTTCCTAGTATTTACAGAATGAATATCACTTATTTACGCAAAACTACTTTTATTTTTGTGTACGTACATTACATTTTCATAAATGTATTGAGAGGCCAGAGTTAAAATATTAATTTCCTTAAATTTTTGTCTCAGTGACTCTTTTGGTTTTAAATTATATATTTCTCTAATGGCCCTCTTCTATAAAATAAATATAATTTCAGTGTCAGTCGCGTGTCCCCATAGCAAAATACCATACGACATAATGCTATGGAAATAACTAAAGTAAACTATTCTAGCTGTTTCAACATTGGTAAGAGTTCTAATCTTTTTTTACAGCATATGCTGCAGAACTAAGTCTGCTAGCTAGTTTTGATATATGGGGGAGCCATTGAAGCTTTGCGTCCAGTGTGATTCCAAGAAAAATGGTGGTATCAACGAGACTCAGTTCCTCCCCATTTAAAATTACATTAGTATTGACATGTTTGACATAGTAGTGAGTTACGTATTTCATACATTTAGTTTTAGTTCCATTCAAATGCAAATTATTAACATTTAACCAATTAACTAACTTAGCTATAGCATTATTTACTTCGTCGTAATTTAATAACTGTCGTTTTAATTTGAAAATTAATGAAGTATCATCAGCAAATAATACTATATCATGGTTATCCCCTACTATGTAAGGTAAGTCATTATTATATACAAGAAACAGAAAGGGGCCGAGAATTGAGCCCTGAGGCACGCCCATTTGTACATTCGACTCAGAGGAACTCATACTATTAATGACAACTTTTTGCGTTCTGTCACTTAAATTTGAAATAATTAATTTAAGAGCGTCGCTTCTTACACCGTAGTGTTGAAGTTTCCTGATTAATGTTTCATGGTGAACACAATCGAAGGCTTTGGATAGGTCACAGAACACACCCAAAGCATCCTGTGAATTCACCCATGCATTAAATATATATTTAATCAGCTCAACACCAGCATCAGCTGTCGAGCGACCTCTTGTGTTAGTTAGAAGTGAAGAAGAACGTTTTTGTATTGGCGCCGTGGGCGCATTGTTAAGTTGTCGTATGGACCGGATGGGGTGCCTAGGTGGCGAGTTTTGGTTGGAGATTCGGTTTTGCAACGTGCCGTCGCGACTCTATCTCGTTTGCCAATTTACTCGCGGACATAGGTCTTGTCGGGACGGGGGTTTGTTTAGGCATAATTGTAACAATTTGCAACTTGCAACGGTGCGCGTCTCGAGCGGGGAACGTTAGGGGACTGATTTGTGCGGTCGGCGGCCGCGCTTACGAGTCTAGAACCTTCTTAGTGAGCGAGCCGTGTCGATTAGAGGTCGCAAATTTTTTGATAAGATTTGCAGCGTCGCATATCGACGGCCTCTATTGTGTTGTATTTTGTCGTTAATATACGTGACAACGAGGCTTTTTGAGTTTTGATTGACTATCTTAACTTCGATTGCTATTAATTGGCGTCGACAAGTGGCTTATGTAATAATTAAAGTTAAAATAAATTAGTTAAAGTGTACGAGGGAATTTTGCTTTCAGTCAACGCATGTTTGCTGCTAAACGATTACCTCGGTGACGTCAGGTTACATTACACACTTTCCTACACCACACACACATACCATTTACTTACCCCTGACAGTGCCTTGTGGTCGACATCACGTCCGGAGCTCGGTAAGTTTGTGTTTGATTATAGCAGCCGTTATAAATTAATTATCCATAGGCCATTTGGGCCCTCCCCTCTGTTGCTCGTCGAGTTGGATTACTATGGGCCCTAGTCCAGTCGACCTTTGTCGGGGTAACTGAGGGCCGTAACATAGTGTAAGACACCAACTAGTGTTAACTGCTTCGTATTTATAAGTTTAATATTTGGCGTATAGATTCTATAGAGATGATCCCGGCGGCGAGGTGGAAGCTGCAGTGTATGGTGTGCAAGCAACGTGGCGCTGGCGCCTGTATTCAGTGCCATAAGAGCAACTGCTATTCTGCGTTTCATGTCACCTGCGCTCAGCAAGCTGGGTGAGTATAGCGAAGTCATCGCGTAATGACAGGAATAGAATAGAACAGAATTAATTGATATTTAATCAAATTAGATTATAAATAAGTGATTTTTGAATTTTACCACTGTTTCGGAATAAAACCTGTTATGGGAAGAACCAACTAGAAACCCAGCAGGCTTTTTGTTTTCCACAGTAACATTATACTTCTCTTTTTTTTCACCCTTATTCTGTTAAAGCAAAACGAGATATCGAAGTCAGATACTTTGATTGACACGCGCGTTATTAAAATAATTTTTTTTTAAGTAAATTAAATCAAATTTGACGAGATGAACAATGCAAATACATTTTTGGTAAGTTCCGTTACGCGAGGCGATTAGTACCTCTGTCTATTTTATTCCACACGCAACAATATTGCTGCTGCGGCTGTCACTGGGTTTTTATCTGGCAACTTTTACTAGGTATATATCGGTCGGTTAGTTGCGGTTAGCTAGTTGTAGCTAAAAAAAATAAAAAATTAATTACTTTGCAACCTCCCGCTAACCAAATACAATGATGTGTCTTACCTGGATTGAAAAGCACCTCCCGTCCTCCCTCAATTGCATGCACTAACTCCGTCACCACTAGTCCCTGCACCACTACTCCCGTAATAGTGGTGTTGGAAGTAGTGGTGCAGGGAGTAGTGGTGCTGGGACTAGTGGTGACGGAGTTAGTGCATGCAATTGAGGGAGGACGGGAGGTGCTTTTCAATCCAGGTAAGACACATCATTGTATTTGGTTAGCGGAAGGTTGCGAAGTAATAAATTTTTTATTTTTTTATTGTAATGGATTTCCGCAAAGTAACGCCTGATTCTGTCAATTAGTTGTAGCCATTTTTTTTAAATTTCAGTTTCTTCTTGCATATTAATTTGCTTCCGTTTCCGGTGATTAGTTTTTTGTTGACTAATAATATCAGACTTTCCGATTTTGGATAAGGAGATTATAGCTTCTGCGTCAATGTAGGAAATCAATAGAGCTTCGGTATACATGCTCTGATATGGCTAAAGTAGAAATTTTAGCAGTAAACGTCGCGCACAGCACACACAGGTGAAGATGCCGTTTACATGGTTATAAACTTTGTTAGTTTTATCCAACGTAAAATATGTAACATAGTTTGATATAGAATATACATTATGGATGATAATTATTATAGCATTAAATTTGTAGACGTATTTCTAAGGAACGTCGAAATTTATTTATTTACTTTATCTACGCTCGTGGGTGTTTTTTTTTAACATTGGGTGACAAACTAGCACACAGTCCACTTGATAGTAAGTGATGCTGTGGCCCATAGACATTCACATTTATCCTCAATTAAGAATGGGTTCTTAGAGGTTGGTTGTGGTCCCTATTACTGGTGTAGTGTTCGAGAGCACGGGGGTGTGGTTTAGAGGGGAGGAAGTGGGGGGGGGGGTTTTGTTTGGGGGGTGGTGTTGGGGGAGGGGATAGGGGGGTGGTGGGTGGTGGGGGGGGGGGAGGGAGGGGGGAAAAAGATTGGGGGGGGGGGGGGGGGGGGGGGGGGGGAGGGGAATTTTTTTAAAAAATAGGGGGTTTTTTTAAAGGAGGCCAAAGGGGTGGTTGGGTCAAGAGTCTGGGTGGTTGTTTTAATGCAAATACTTTGTCACCCCTGAGTACTAAGATGGAATGCCTCGATTCCAGTAAAAATTATCTCCGGTTCTCTACATTCACCATACGAAACACAGCAGCGTTGAGCTGCTATTTTACGCCGGTATTCTGTGAGAGCGGGGTCCTTCCCCGGTCGAGCCGACCCATTCATGCTTCAACTATAATATAGCTGCAGCGTGGCTCTATCACGTGGTGAACTTATGAAAGTCATTCAACATTTTTGTTATAAAATTTAATGTATCCATCATCGCCAGTCTGTACATGAAGATGGAAGCTGCGGGAACTGGAAGGGACCCGAGTCAGCCGGTGCAAGTCGCTAAGATGGCGTACTGCGACGCGCATACACCCGCACATATACTGCAGGTGAGACTCATCGGCCCTTTACATGTAGATATACGTTTATGAACAAAATGTGTTATGTAATAAGACAGAGAAATACAAAGAACAAGTTGAAACAACCAATTAATTTTTTAGATCAAATTGTCCAGGATTCAGGTTGACAACACTTGTGGTTCACACCGCTATTAATCCATCCGAGCTTGACATAATATTAGATCATATTTAATTATTAAGTAAAAACATGAAATTGGTTATTAAAATAATTACACTGTAAACAATACAAAATATAAACAAACAGAATACTTTTTTGAAGAATTTCTAAAGCTTGATTTATTATTTAGGAAAGAAGAGCACAGGAGTCGGAAGGAGATTCAAAATCAACAGATCTCTCAGTAATACGACAGAAAGGAAGAGAGAAAATAAAACAGGTATGACTTAGGATATTAGTTTTTAATTATGGCTTGGACTATTATTTCTGAAATAGTTTATTTACCAATGTTTTATTCCTTATAGTTTATTTATATATTCCAATAGTTTATTTACCAATGTTAAATTGTGTAATAAGAGAAGAGTGTGGTTTGCAAGTTGTTTGTTAAGAAGGAATGCTTCTGTTTGGTATGTGGAAAGAATGAATGAGGAGAGTGACAAAGAAAATTGGTTTATTGTTATTCGCATAATCTATGGCACGCAGCTTCATAGATGCTTCAAATTGTGGTTGTTAGATTTTTTTCATTATTTATTTAAATGCTGAAAAGTATGTAATCACAAATTAATATATTAAATATTAAGTTTTAGTTATAATAAAATTGTATTGTTTTTTTATAGGATAGGGTGACAAACGAGCACACAGTCCACCTGATAGTAAGTGGTTGCTGCGGCCCATAGACATCCACATCCATCCTCTATTACAAATCAAAATGCAGATGTATTGTCCCATGCAATGCATTGACAAAAAGGGTCTCCGGCTTTCTACACTCACCATACGAAACACAGCAGCATCAAGCTACCATTTCACGCTGGTATTCTGTGAGAGCGTGGTCCTTCCCCGGTCGAGCCGACCCAATCGTGCTACGACTATACTACTAATATAACTGCAAGTTAAAAGGGGGACAGTCGTTCGATAATTGCTTGCAATTTATATTGAATAAACATTAACTCTATTCTATTCCATTCGTTTTACCTTGGCAACGGACTAAAGTATCGTTGAAAATTGAAACATGTGATTGCCTTAGCTTAGAGGCATATTTCTAAAATGGCTATTTTCGCGTTGCTGCGCGTAAAGCGAGACACTACGCAGATACGATTAGATATATGTATCTGAGCGCATGTCTTTCTATATCGTTCTCCATGAAATTCATTGAACTAACAAAATGCAAATGCATGGAATTGTTAGTTTCTTTGTTGATCTGACGTCAGTAGTAGAATGAATGGTGGGTCTGACCATATTAAGTTATGTATGTATCCTCAAGCTCTTTTCTCGCTTTTTATTTTATTTATATTTGTTTACAAACGTTACAATAAGTAATTTTATAATATATATTTTATATTTAAGTTCAAATGACATTTTTTACCGTCTGGAAAAAAATAAGGTGTAAAATGTGAACGGAGTAGAAGCCTATGGCACTGATATTTTACAAAAAATAAAAACAAACATTTTGAATTAACAAACAGCGCAGATAATTTATATTTTATCGTTAAGTATCTGTAAGCACTGACCTCTATATAGAAATATGGTGATGATGTTATCTGCTCATACAAAAATATCTGCGATGTTATCTGCAGATACAAATATGGCATAGGATTTTGTCTGCAGATAAATACAGGACGAAAATGCGATTAAATTCGCCTCGGTCTTTTTAATCTTTATATAAAGTTCTATCCAAATTCTTCGCTTTTTAGTAAATTCTAATGCGATACGATGCATAAAAATCAAAGTTTGAATCCTATTCTGATAAGCTGTCTAACTAATCTAGATATACGCCAACTCATTGTAGATAACACTCTGTATAAACAATTCGCTCCAAAAAACACGTCTAATAAGTTTGAAGAATTTCGATTGATCATTTCGTATATTATTCTATCTGAGTAGTATGTGATACTTTCAGATAATTAAGTTTTCATACGCAGATAAAATATTATCGTATCTGCGTAGTGTGACTCGTTTTACGCGCAGCAACACGAAATAGCCATTTTTGAAATATGCCTCTAAGGCGAACGAGCGATGTTCATGTCAGTCCATGATTTTTTATTTATTTTTAATGGAAATCTAACAGCTAACAAATATTAAGTAAATAACATGTTTAGTTACAAGAAGCCGATAATAAGTTCTCACTAATAATACAGTAACATAATCTTTCGACGTTTAAAGGACATGGCACAAAAAAAAGTAAAGCAGGACTAATATTTTTCATCATAATCGTGTTCTTTGCATAAATTATTAAAATTCTTACTAAACCGTCATATGAAAGTATTTTTTCCATAATTAGTAGATGAAGCCGGTAAGTAGAGTAATGCATTCGCTCTAAGGTCCACTGTATGCACTCTCAGCGATATTTGTGATAGCAGATCAGAGCAGGTCAACACTGCCAGAACAGTTTTTGATGAAAAAATACGTCAGCAATCTCACGATGTTTTATCAGAGGTATAGATGATTGCGCTTGTATAAAGATAGGTAGTCTTTTGATCGGTAGTTTGTATTGATACGATTGCAAAGATATCGTATGAACTTTGTTGGATGCTTTCAATCCGTGAATTGACCATTCCTAATTTGCGATGCATATTTAAGCGTATTGCGAATGTAAGTACAGTGCGGATTTTAATCGTTTTAATGTTATCAAACTCCTTTGCAGTACGCATGACAAAACATAACGCTTTGGATGCACTAGCTATGATATTGTCAACATGGAGTTTGAATAATAACTTAGAATAGAGGGAAATCCCTAGATCACGTACAACAGATTATTTTTGTAGCTTCTGGCCTTTCAGGTGATAGCCGTAATGAAATATGTTTCGCTTGCGTGAATTTGTAATAAGAGTGCATTTAGATGGGTTTAGATCAAGCTTGTTGTGTTGATTGCACAGTATTCCTCCAATCCTAATAGATCTTCCTGCTTATAATTCAGCATCGGCCTGAGGTGAGATAGTAGAAAATATTTTCATATCATAAGCAAATAAAAGGTATGTTTACAGAAATAATTAGCTACTGGGGGGGACTATAACTTACTTCTTATGTAACTTTCAGTCATAGGCGACGGGAATGATTGATTCGACAATGTTGAAAAAAAAAACGAACACCGGGTGTTGTTTTTTTTGCTGTGATTAAATTTTTCACTAAATAAGGAAAATCCCAAAAAAACAACCTTGAAGAAATGTTGGCTGTTTACCGAGATTCTGCTCCTTCAATGTCAAAGGTACAGAAGTGGTCAAGTGAGTTCAAAATAGGCAGGGAAAGCATCGAAAATGACCACCGCCCGGGTGGCCCAATCACAACGGCTACACAATAAAATGTAAAAATTATTGAAAAACTTGTATTAGAAGATGCACTAGTAAGAATTTAAGATTAAGATGTTAGCAGAAATGACTGATATATCCGTGGGTACCATGCACACCATATTGCATGACTATCTCAACCTCAAAAAAGTCAGTGTAGGATGGGTGCCGCGATTGCTCACTGCGCTTCAAAAGCAGGCACGGGTTGACTGTTGTAGGAAGTTTTTAGAGCTGTGTGGTGACGACCGAGCAAGTGTTTTCAATAGGATAGTTATAGGAGATGATATGTGGGTTCACCACTATGACCCTGAGAGTAAACAGGAGTCTATGCAATGGCATAAAAAGGGATCAGAAGAAGTTCAAGGTCACTCCATCAGCCGATAAAATCATGTTTTGGGATTCCAAAGGAATACTATTGATCGAGTACACAAAAAAGTGAAGCCAGTAACACAGACAAATACTCAGCCATTTTAAGCCGTTAGTGTGAAGCAATAAAGGAAAACAGAAGAGGAAAGCTGACGAGGGGAGTGCTGCTTCTTCATGACAATGAACCGGTTCACACGGCGCTGCTCTCCAAGGCTCCTGTACGAGGCTGCAGGCTTGAGGAAATTAAGCATCCACCGTATAGCCCGGATCTAACCCCCTAGTGACTACTTTTTATTCCCAAATTAAAAAAGACCTTCGAGGAAAGCGGTTTTCTGACGGTAATGAGCTCAAGTCAATAAGCGTTTTTCAGGCCAAGACGAAGAATATTTTTTCAAGGGAATAGAAAAGCTTTTTTCACGAATGGGAGACTACATTAAAAATTTAAAAAATATTTCATAATTTTAACCTTTTTCTAATATACCCATACCGAAAATACATTGCACGCCCCTCGTAATAAAGTTTTTTTTAAAGTAGATTATGTTTCATCCGGCCGAAAGCCTTAATATAATCTGTATATACAACTTCAACTTGATGGCCGCCATCAATGGTTTTAGTTAAGAATGCTTAAACCATACTATGATTTTTAATTTTTAAATCGTTACTATTATTTTTTCATTAATTAAGTAAAAGTACTATATATTTCACTGCGTCGGCCATCTGAAATCTAAATTCATTATCGCGCCAGCGGTTTTCTAAGTCGTACCTGTGTCAATTTATTTCGCGCGCTCCGTCTCGTTTCGATATTATCGTAGTGTGCGTCGATGGACGTGGCACTCCTATTTTGTGCTAGAGTATCGTCAACTACGCCCGCAATTTTAATCGTTGGAAGTATTTACTTTCGTATAGTATATTTCAATTAGTATAAAGTTCGCACATTATGATTATACCAGATAGTTAACTCATTATAGTTATTTTGATTGTAGCTGAGCTTTCTTACCAGTCGGAATTGGGAAAAATAAATACAAGTATCAATGTGTCACTAAACGTAAAAAAAGAAATCTACAAAAAAAAATACAACGACGACAAGTTTTGAATATGTTACCTAAGTTACAAGCGTTTTATAAAAAAGTGTGTACCGCCTGAAATTACTGACTCGAGATAAGCTAAGAATTCTTAAATTAAACTGAAACAAAACTTGAAAGAAAAAATTGGGGTGTGAGTGTGTTGTGTTATTTTAACTATTTCTATTTTAATAAAATTTCAAAATTTTCGGATAATATTTAGTCTAGATCTCGCCTGATATTACTCTATATTTGTTCGTGAACAAAGACATTTAAGTCTACTACTTAACTTACAACACTATGAAGGAATATTTAAAGAGGTATTCACGTGAAAAGTGAACTTACAGGCTCGTCGCGTGCTGGCGCGCGCGCGCACGTGGGCGCCGGTGGTGCTGGTGCCCACGCTCCGTGCTGAGCGCGTAGCTGACGTGGCGGCGTTGCTGCGCGGCCCGCCAGCGCAGCGCGCGCAGCTCATGAAGCGCCTGCTCGCCTACTGGACGCTCAAGCGCCACGCGCGCAACGGCGTGCCGCTGCTGCGTCGCCTGCAGAGCCTCGCCACTCACCACGGTACGCACGCACGAACGTGTACACGCACACACACACACATGCACGCTCGCGCGCACGCACATACGCGCACATAGTAGCACCTCGTCGCAAAACACGCGTACGCACCCACACACGAGCACACGCACTTCTGTATAAAGACCGATTTACACTTCGACAAGTACAGTAGCGATTTAACCGTGCAAACTAGTGCAATTAATGAGTTAAGTAGCAAGTTAACAATCATGTTGAACGGGATAGCCGCCCGGTCTATTTTTCGGCGAGTTAAGTTCGAAGTATTGCCCTCCCGTGAGTCTACTGACACCCACAACTAAACTCGCAGCTCGTGTGAATGAGCGAGTTTAGTTCAGTACATAAGTTAACAGGACGCAACGTGTTCGCGTTCGACCCTCATAATAGAAAATTGTACTTGTTTTAATTAAACTCTCCACGAACATATGAACGCTACTGTCCACTTAACCATTTACTGTCAACTGCCCTGTAACTAAACTCGCTACTGTACTTGTCGAAGTGTAAATCGACTATAACAGTTAGTCTCGTTACGCATTAAAGTGTCTACATACACACACGTATCGTTCCACAATCACACCACGCATCACGGTATACGTATACACATGTCGCTCACTATGCGCCGCACTTAAACACTCGCACGTTCGCTTCTGTGTAGTGCATCTAAATATCTGTATTTTTTACTTAAAAACTTCCTCGTGCGCTTTAATTTTTTTAAATTAAATATAACTGAATTACTAAAAAAGAAAAACGTACAGACCTTAATATTAAGGTGTACTGAATCTAATGAGACCAAAATTGTCTCATTTCGTAAAGGTTGCGTTATAAAGGGGGCGCATTACGACAAATACCCACAGAATAACATAGTACAACAACGCTGCGCATAATGTTCCGCACACGCAAGTACGCGCACCGATGCACAACTTAGCTACGAACCACAATGCGTACACTCAATCACACGCATATGCATCACGCATCATGGTATCTAAAGGCTCATTACACCGAAGCGTTTCCCACACATTATCAAAATTTAACCAATGAAAAAAATAACCAAAACCAACCAACCTGATGTAATTGTGCGTTTTTTTGCGTAAATTTTCTTATAAAAATCTCGTGTACAAATTGTTAAAATTACGAAAATATTTTAGGAACCAGGGGTATACAAGACGGTACAGTCAATGTGAGAGAACTGTGCAACCAACTAAAATACTGGCAACGCATACGTCAAGATTTGGAAAGAGCAAGGTATGGCCATTTTTTTTTTAAATAAAACGTCTACAATTAATTTAACGTTGTACAAAAATGTCGACAGTGAATTTTGCTTATGCAGGTAGAATTTTTCGCACAATAAAAAATAGTTTTCAAGATTATCATCGATTGCCATGATATAGTAAAACTTTTAATTGGGAGACTCGCGAAGCGATATTTTAACTTTGTAGATTAAAAATTTCGTTACATAAAAGTAATATGAGACTATGTATATTCAGAATAATAGAACTAATTTTGTTTTTCTTATTTAAAGGCTTTTGTGCGAGTTGGTCCGCAAACGCGAGCGACTAAAAGCAGAGTACACGCGCGTGTGGGAGCGCTGCGTGCTGCACTCGCTGCAGCCGGAGCGCGCCGCGCTGCACAAGTTGCTGCGCTTGCTGCGGCAGCGCGACACGAGCGACGTGTTTACCGAGCCCGTCGACCTGCAGGAGGTGAGTACACGCGCGTGTGGCAGCGCTGCGTGCTGCACTCGCTGCAACAGGAGCGCGCCGTGCTGCACAAGTTGCTGCGCTTGCTGCGGCAGCGCGATACGAGCAACGTGTTCACTGAGCCCGTTGACCTGCAAGAGGTGAGTACACGCGCGTGTGGCAGCGCTGCTTGCTGCACTCGCTGCAGCCGGAGCGCGCCGCGCTGCACAAGTTGCTGCGTTTGCTGCGGCATCGCGATACCCGTCAATTTTCAGAAGGTGACAGATGAGTGCACAAGCGTTTGACAGATAAATGTCTTGTACAAAAATTGTCTTATGTTAGTTATTTCTTTTTTTTAATAGACTAAGATTGACAAGCGATCACACAGTCTGTCTGATGGTAATTGGATGCAGAGACCCGTTTCGGTAGAGATCTACAATAGAAACGGGGATAAGAAATATACATCTATCTATACTAGATTAAGAATAAAAATGAAGATGTTTTGTCACCCTGAGGTCTAAGATGTCTCGTTTCCCGCAAAAAAGGCCACGTCAAAATTATTTTACAGATTTTATCGTTTTTTTATTTGATTGGAAACTTATTTTAAAATTCATTAATTGGGAATTTAAATCTTTAAACAGCATTGAGGCATTCTCCACACTCCCTTATTCTTCATGACCGAAATGAACGTAATCTTTAAAGATAAGTTACGGTTTGGTAGACTTTGTATTTATTTATCCTACTTTTTATAATTTAAATATATTTTTTTCAATTCATAGATTCCTTATAAATCTACAGGTCCCCGATTACAGTACAGTCGTGAAGCACCCTATGGATCTTAGCACTATGAGTAAAAAACTGGATTGTGGTGCATACAAAAACATAGACGACGTGGAGGCTGATTTCCAGCTCATGATTGAAAATTGTTTGACTTATAATAATAAGGATACCGTCTTCTACAAGTAAGTATTAACAATGAAATTCATGGATTAATAATAACTATTCTAACCATAAATACTGTTACATACTTTTCTTTTTTTCAACTTTTTAATTATTTTGAATTTTGAACGCGTTCATTATTTTTATAAGTTCTTTCGATTTCGCGCCATTTCATTTGAATGGAATGGGGTCAAAGAAAATAGGATTGTGGTGATCGCCTTGCACAAAGTGGGTATGGAGCCGTCGGTCATATACCAAACACTTCAAAAGCTTGGTATCAGCCGTATTTTCGTATATCGTACTGTTGCGCGCCTAAGTTGATGTCTGGTACTGGCACTTGCGTCATCTAGTGTCGGGGAACAGAGCGAGGAGAGCTTTCCAGAAAATGCCATGACTGAACTTTCAACCTACAACGACATCTAGTATCGAATAGAAGAACTAAGCTTTCTGGAAAGCTGCACATTCGAATTTTCTGCACCTGGTCGGGTTGGATGGTGAGGCGTTGAAGCCCGCCACCGGGGCAGTATTGAATTTGGCGATACAAGCGAAGCTTCGGAGCGAAATAAAGTGAATCAGTGTGATTAATTATTTGTGTCTTTTAAGTTTTAATTGGTGTTCGGTAATTAAAGTGTTAATTTTGGTAATTCAATCGGCAGTTTTTATTGTCACGAACCCTAAGCTCGTAACAGTACTATCAACAGATACAATAACACTTCCTCTATCGAAGACCATAAAATATCGGGGCGGCCGCGTGCTGCTAGAATTACAAAGGCTGTTAATGCTATTTAAGCCAGAATTTGTCGAAATCCCATTAGGAAGCAAAAAATCTTATCGCGAGAAATGATTCCCGCTAGGACTCTGTCGCGTATTATAAAACAAGACCTGAAGCTCGGTGCTTATCGTCGATATACAGGACATGCCCTAAATCAATCTTTAAAATTAAAGAGAGTGGATCGATCAAAACGCCTTCTGTCGCTATACTCAGGTGAAGGGCACAGAAATATCCTCTTTACCGATGAAAAAATGTTCACGATTGAAGAGCACTACAATAAGCAAAATGATAAAATGTACGCTGTTAGTTCTAAAGAAGCTGCTCAAGTGGTCCGAAAGGTACAACGTGGTCATCATCGTACGTCAGTGGTGGTTTGGTGGGGCGTGTTTTATCAAGGCGTCACAAAGCTACATTTTTGTGAAAAAGGAGTGAAAACTTCAGCCAATGTGTATCAAGAGACGGTTTTGGATCGTGTCATGAAACCTCTTAGCAATACACTTTTTAAAAATATACTGTGGACTTTCCATCAGGACTCTGCACCTGGTCACAAAGCACGAACTACCCAAGCCTGGCTTGAAAACAACTTCCGGACTTCATAAGAGCTGAAGACTGACCCTCATGTAGCCCAGACCTCAACCCTTTAGACTACAAATTATGGTCAGTTTAAGAGGACATGGCTTGCTCTAAACGACACGGCGACATTGAGTCTCTTAATAAATTTTTGGAGCAAGCAGTGGCGAAATTTCCCGTGAAAACAGTGCGTAAATCTATAGATTCGTGGCCAGACAGATTAAAGAACTGTATAAAAGCCAAAGGTGGCCATTTTGAATAGAATATTGTTTTTATTTTTTGCTGAGACCTTAATGAATATGTACATATAAGTTTTAGTAATATTACATTACTTCTTTAAAAAAAATGCATTTTAATTTGTAACAGAACTTATGGCTGGACTAGGTATACACATGCACGGTGAAACACATTTATTTGGAAATGAAATTTCATTAATTCTCTATTTGCATGACTATGAAATTTAATTTCCAAATGATCAATGTTAATATCTGCTTTGGAATCCCGTTATTAATTAAAATTGAAACTAAAATTAAAATAAAATAAATGCAAACCTATGCATATTACTGCATGGCTTTAAGATTTGCTCTTTGTACGTAGATTGGATTAAAAACTAATACTGAAAAGTTAAAATTAGCTTAGCTTTCCATCCATTCTTGACCATAACAAACCTTCTAATTTTGGAAGTTCCGAATCAGAATTCCGAAAGTTAAAAAGTTTAAAAACACGGTAGTATCCGTAGAATAAAGCGGAGAATTTACTAGACTGACTAGCCCACGGTGAACCGTGGTAGCTCAGATGGTTAGCGCTCGTTGTAAATTTCACAGTACGCGAGCAAACCGGGTTCGATCCCCGCTGGCATCAATGAAATTGTTAATTGCAATTTTAAGTGCTGATTTTCCATGTGCTGTGGGAAAACATCATGAGAAAACCTGCATGTCCGAGAAATAAAAAAAAAATATTTCGAAGACATGTGAAGTTCGCCAACACGCATTGGGGCAGCGCGGCGAACAATTCCTTGCCCTAAAACCCTCTCAAAAATGAGTGGAGGCCTGTGCCCAGCAGTGGGATGTATATAGGCTGTAACTTTACTTGCCCACGGGCATATCTGCAGACATGCCTGCCGGACTTCGCTACTATAGGTCTGTGTAAAGTTGATAGTGTAGTACCGTCGCAGTCGGTCTGGCAGATTTGCCTGTTGAACGTCCGCGCGATCTTATTTTGTCTGCGTGGGCCGCTCGTGAATGTTAACTGCGAGTGGTCTGTTTACGGACACAGACAAGAGCGACAGCAACCATTGCAGACGGTCTTTTTTATTCTTTAACGAACTTTCGAGATTTATAATTTGCAATGAGTTTTAATGATAATAAAATCTTTTGGGAAGAGTTTATACGAATCTATATCCATGCGCAAGTAATTGTATAGGTCTGCTGGTTCATCAATATAATTTTTTTAATGTAAATTGATATGGCTAAACTTATTTTTATTTTTAAATCATTCTTTGCACCAAATTATAATTAAATAATAAATAAATAAGCATTGCAAGTCTAGGTTTTCATCTTACATTAAGATGAAAACCTAGACTTGCAATGCAACTAATCACGTAGCCGGTCTAAAACAAACTGATATATCTGTGTAGTGTATTGCGGCTACAAACATGCTCGGACTAACAGCCCGTGGGCATGTCCGTCCAGTGAATTCCTCGCTTTAGCTTTATTACTTATAAAAATGGACGGTTTTCATATTTTAATAACTAACATTTAGTATTTTTGACAACTTCAAGAGGCGTTATTCTATATGCAAAAAAGCAAGTGCTGGTATAATATTTTTTTGGTAATGGGAAATCGTAAGTAGTTCGAAATGGTTTCTGTAATATTTAAACACTTTGGTTGAGTTGTCCAAATTGTGTAAATAAGTATAAGTAGTAATTAAACGCGATAAAATCCGTAAATAATAGTCTTATTCAATAATATAGTGTTTCTTTTTCATACTTTGCTGACATAACGCCGTGCATTTAGTTTGAGAATTGTTTATTGACAACAGACTGCTTTAATCTGATAACCGAACGGAGTTAATATTATAATGTACAAAAGGTACAATTAAGTGTATAGCAAAGTTGATAATGCATGAATGAAAACTTAATGAATTTGTTAATTTTAAGGATCTAATATCTTCTTCACAGAACATGTTTGTACTTTTCATTATTTTTATAAGTAGAGTAATAAAAGTATAAAAATTTGAGACTAGTTAGTGCGCGGGTTACTCTCGCCTTTTTCTTGTGGAATGGTACATAACTCATAAACATTAGTGCAAAAGACTGGCATAATACGGCTATTCACATGCGTATTACTTAACGAAAATACATCACTATATTACATAAAATACTTAACTTTAGTAATCTAAATTATGTTATGACTTGATAATGGAGCATTCGGGCGCAATACAAGAAGGTATGTAATCGTCTGTTTGACAGGGCGGCGATAAAGATGCGCGAGCAGTGCCTGCCGATATTCCGTCAGGCGAGGCGCGACGTCCTGGATGCGGGCATGGTGGAGGTGGCGGGGGCCGGGGAGGCGGCGGGGGCTGCGGGGGAGGTGGGCGCGGCGCGGCAGGCGGGCGGGCCGGGTGCGGGCGCGGCGGACAGCACTAGCGCCAGCGTCGCGCGCAGCTCGGGGCGCAGCGCACGTGCGCGCAGTCGTGCTCGCAAGTCCAGCAGCGACAGTGCGCACACCGCCGGTACCTACACTACCGCACTTTTTCATTGAACAGTGGCCTGCTACTGGCTTATATTGTTACTTACTCATATGCTCACTAGGTCATATGAGCACTATGTCATATTCTCCCCACTCCATATTCTCACCACGTCATATTCTCACTGAATTATATTCCCACCACGCATTATTCTCACTATGTTATATTCACATATTCTCACTAGTCATATTCTCACTACGCCTTATTCTCACTACGTTATATTCTCACCACGCCATTTTCTCATATTTTCACATTCTCACTACGTCATATTCTCACAACGTCATATTCTTACCACGTCATATTCTCACTACATCATATTCTCACTGGTTAATGTCTTCAGTAGATAATATTTCCACTATTTATAAGTGGTAACGGCATGCCACAGCTATATTATGGTTGTTGCTCGACCGAGGAGGTACCACTCTGTCATAAAATATCAGCGTTAAATAACAGCTTACTGTTGCCGTATTCGAATGGTGAGGGTAGAGAGCCGAAGACCATTTTTTTTTCTAGAAACGAGATTCATCTTTAGTCTTCAGGGATGACAACGCATTTGCATTTTTATTTATTTTATTCATTTTTATTTTTAGTCTATGGGCCATAGCTTCCACTTACAATCAGGTGGAGTGTGTGCTCACTTGTCACACATTCTAAAAAAACATTCTATGGATCAGTAAGTTCAACCTATATAGTCAACAAATTTGTAAACCGAAGTGACCATGGATCAACCATATAGCTGGAAGAAGTAACAAGCAACATGATCTCGAGTGATAGCTTCATACCAATCGACTAAGTGTAGTGTGGTCCTATTACATTAAGTGACAACCACGGACCGTGCTTTGTGCATACTTTGGGAAAGGTTCAGTAATGAACTTGTGAATTACAGAGAAAAATAGAATTATAAATTTTTATAATAAGCACATTCATCATCTTTCTTATCGTAAGAGTATAGGGCCTCTTCCACGCCTGGCAAGTAAATTAAAAATAAAAATTATTTATAGTTTGCTAAAATTGACTTTCGTTTTTTTAAATAGAATAATTTTGTCACCCAAACGAGCACACAGTCCACCTGATGGTGAGTGGATGCTGTGGCCCATAGACGTCTACATTTATCCTCGATTAAGAATCAAAACGCAGGTGCGTTGTCACCCCTGAGGACTAAGACGGAATGCCTCGTAACCAGTAAAAAAGGGTCTCCAGATCTCTACACTCACCATACAAAACACAGCAGTATTAAGCTGTTTTACGCTGGTATTCTGTGAGAGCGTGGTCCTTCCCCGGTCGAGCCGACCCATTCGTGCTACAACTATAATATAGCTGCAGCATGGCTCTACCACGTATAAAAATGTATATTGTTTGTACCTGACACGACCTGTACTGTACCTTTAATGCTACTTCCTATCGTCGAGGGAGATAATTATGACATCATTTTTCGGAAGCAGCATAACTTTTCGCATGTTCGATAGCCGCCTCGTAAGACATCTACGGGATGAAATGAGCCCGTTCGACATAACTGCTTAAAGAAAATTAAGTTTATAAAGAAACTAGTCACGTAGCAGAGTCTGGCTTGATCTTGGTAGAGCTCGTTTTCAGCGTAAACAAAGTAATGCTCAACTCTTTTCAGATACAAGAAGTGAGCGCGGCGTTTCATTAGCACGAAGTGAACGAAGAATATCTAGCACCCGTAAAGAATCTGAAGAAGACACTAATGTGGTACGTATATATTAAGTAAATACTTTATAACAGTCCTTACTGCCAGTGGCGAAGCCTCTACATAAGCCCAGAAGCCCGGCTTGCCTTATCAAGCTGAATCAATCAATAATATCAAGTAATAAAATAACTCGTAAACTGTTTTAAACTATTTCAAATTTCCCGCGCGCTCTGTTCGACCTCGTAGCCTTAGGAATACTGCTGTCATACATATAAGGAGAGTTGAATTGAGCGATTCGTTGTCTCCCTCGCACGTGTGGGCTTTTTACCGGGCTTTCGAGAAGACGATCGCTCCCTTTCTAACCTGTGGCAAAATGTTCTCTAATGAAATATAACTACGAAATGCTTATATAGCAATTACTATTGAGCCACAAGCCTGGCTTTGCCCTGAAGTTGTTTAGGAGTGCGTTAGCGACTAGCGAATGGGGTGCGGGCCATTCGTATGCAAGTTCACTTCACATTTCAATGTTTATGTTTGTTTTTGTTGTGTTTGTTGTGCTTTTTCAAAAAATTTCAGTGAAAATGGGAGGATAATAGTGTTCATTGTGATGAATATAAGTGTGTTGCAGTGCTAATCGGCGAGGAAAAGGTAAAAATCTTTAAAAATGAAATTTAATATTCAATAAACATTTCTTCATACTTTAAATATAGGTACAGGACTCTTTAGTATTAAAGTTTAAGTTAGGCGTATTTAAAGGTTTAATAACTCAATATTTATATTACCGTATGAATTAAAAATATCATTTTGAACGGCAGCATAAAATATGAGACACCTAGGTTTAATTTTATAGGAAATAAATGTCACAATCTTTTTTTTAACGTGAAGCCCAAATTTTAATGTAATAAATCAAAAGAATACAGAAAAATGCATTGAGGTTTTTAAAGAATACGCCCTTTAGTTATTTCCAGTGTACAAAATTTTAATAGCGCCATCTACTTAATTCTATAGGTAAAGTCATTTTATCGAACGAAAATTGGTTGATTCTCACGATGGTACCTAAAGATTACGCTAGATGGCACAAATACGCTATCGGCTAATTTAATATTTATATTACCATATGAGTTTAAAAATATCATTTTGTACGGTTTATTATGAATTGAATATCATTTTGTATTATTATAAATTGAAAACGAATAATTATATAATAAATTATCATCGTCATTATTTTATTGTAAAAATTAGCAAAGCTTTATCTTCTCATTATAACCATAGAAAATAGAAAAACATAGAATGGCATTGTGGGCGGGGCACGCATGCCACTGATTTGCCCGAACGGTCATATAAATCCCGAGACACGTGATCGCGCACGTAAGTCACTCACGAACGCTCTCACCGTGCGCAAGTGAAACGCGGCGACTATTTTTGACGAAAAATGCCTACTTGTGCTGTTATTAGTTCTAAAGCAAGGAGTGAAGTGTCTAGTGTAGCCAAAGGAGGAATTTCTTTTCATCGGTAAGTAAAAAAACTTCTCAAATTTACGGTTTTTAAGTCAAAATCTGTAAAATGTTATTAAAATTCTTAAAAATATACATTGCTGGCAAAGTACGCATACCATTTTTATAGTGTCGTTTTAAGCACGCAATGTAAAGGTGACACATGATTCTAGTGAAGAGACACGCACTCTGTAGCAATTTATCGATAAGTTTCAATTTCTTTTGGGTAGTAATCTTCATTATCTTTTCTTATAAAAATAATTATTAATGGCATTGATCATTACGCTAAGCATTTTATCGATATCTTTATAGATTCGGATTCTTAGGTAAAAGGGAATGCCGGAAAGTGGCGTCTTTTTTATTTCGCGCGGCCATCAACCAAACCTTGTTATTTAGATTTTGGATTCATTTTGGATTAAAAAAAAGACTATAAAAAGACTAAGTATATACATATAAGGCATTTTGTTTCCTATAACATTTCAGTTTTCCTAAAAAGCCAGATATACGGAAACAGTGGATCGAAATTACTGGTCGTAAAGACTGGATTCCGACTAAATCAAGTACCATTTGTTCACAACACTTTAATGAAGATAACTTCGAGGTCAAAAATTCTAAGAAGAGGTATTTAAAAAACGTTGCAGTACCACATGTACAAGTTGTGTACATTGTATGTTTATACTATTTTATAAAGTTATATTTTGTTCATAACTGTAAATATGTTCATATATTGTTGACAATATTTTTAATGATATAAAAGATTCTTCTTTGTCACCACGAAAACGTACTCAGAAGAACATAGGCAATGAAATAATAAACAAACGTGCTAAAGTTCAGGTTAGTTATAGATGGTACCTAACTAACACATTATTTTGCTGAGTTTCACTTTTATTGCTGTTACCAATCAACAAACTTCGTTTATCTTTCGTAGTTAAACTATTATTTTAGCTTAATATACAGCACTGTAGATCTTATTATCTTGTTTTATTTTAGGAAATTGTAGATCCAATACTGACAACTTCTTCAACGGTAACGGTAATGGAAGAGTGTGCTAGTCAAACAATAAGGGATGTAGATCCAGTACCGTTAAACTCTTCAACAGTATTAATGGAAGAGAGTGTTAATCAACCAATTAAGGATATGGATCCAGTACCGACTAATTCTTCAGTATTAATGGAGGAGTGTTCTAGTATAGCAATACAGGTAACAACGGACTATGTAAGAAAAATTCAGTCCAGTGTTCCTTCCTTTATTGACTCCAATGCGTCAACGCCGAGAAAAAGAAGATTAACACGAATAATATCTTCTAAAGAAAATATCATAAAACACCAAAGAAATCAGATTAAAAGAATACAATCACAAAATAAAATGGCAGATATAATAAATGACTTAGAAAAAAGTTTTCACTGAAAGAAGAACAGTTAAGTGCATTGAGAGGCACAAATTTACAGGTGAAAGGTTACTCTTTAAACCGAATTTTTATTATTATTTAACTTTTTGTATGTATGTTACGAGATTCTTTCGGTTTTTACATCCCAATATATTTTTTGAATAAATTTGGTAAACAATTTTTATTTTATTTTGTAGGTTGAAAAATTGATTGGTCGGTACATATCAAAAGAAAAGTCCGGTGGAATTACAAAACAGCGTTATTCCCCAGCTCTCCGAACATTTGCACTTACCTTAAAACATGCTTGCCTCATGTACGTACTTTACGAAAATGGTACACAAGTGTAAAAGGAGAACCAGACTTCACAGATGAATCCTTCAAAGCCCTTAAGGCAAAGTCAAATTCAATAAAATATCCAATCATAGCTGGTCTAATGATATATGAAATGGCAATAAGAAATCGTATAGAATGGGCGGAGTAAAACTGCACAGGTATGTTGAGATCGGTAGCGGAATAGAAGGTGACCATATAACGGAAGCAAAGGAGGCATTAGTTTTTTTTTAGTGACTGGCATTAACTGTAATTTTAAGGTGCCTATGGGTTATTTTTTGATTGACGGAATGCCTGGAGTTCAACGAGCTGAACTAGTAAAACAATGTCTGGAAAAGATACATGAAACTGGACTAAAAATTGTTTCTCTAACTTTTGATGGCTGTGCCTCTAACATAGCAATGTTGAAACACCTGGGATATAACTTTGAAGAGGGAAAAATGACATTTGAAGATCCGGTCACAAAATATCCAATTATGGCACTTTTAGATCCATCTCACATGGTTAAGCTAATACGCAACGCATTTCAGGTTTGCTATGACTTATGTAGTTAGTTTTAACTAATTTTTGCTCACGACGTGATTTGCGTGGAAATATTGATATATGTCTTCTTCTTCTCCCTGTCCTTATCCCAATTCATTGAGAATCTGCGCAACACGATTTATCTCTTTAGATTGGAGACACATATTGCATCAGGATCAGGCAATGGTTTTTGACGTGACGTTTCACGAAAATTGATTTCAGTTTTCGGCAAGTTGTCATATACACCTGTGTTATTTGATAATATTACAGGTTTACCAAGTGTTTGTTGACGAGTATGGCAATAAAATAAAGTGGTCCTACCTTGAGGAACTAAACAAGCTCCAAGAAAAGGAAAAATTTCATTTGGCGAACAAGTTGTGACATCGGCATATACACTATCACAGTCAAAAGATGAAAGTTAAACTTGCCACCCAATTATTTAGTTTAAGCGTATGTGATGCCATAGATTTTTGCAGAGAAGAACTAAATTTACCAACTTTTCGTGAAAGTTTACCAACAACAGTTTTCTTAAAAACAAATAATAATTTTTTTGATATACTTAATTCAAAAAGCATGTCACAACACGGTTATAAAAACCTATTAATGAAAATAATGCTAAAGAAATTTTAGAATATGTAGATAAAGTTGCTGGCTATATATCTAATTTAAAGTGTGACAATGGCCCACTTTTGATTGAAAGCCAAAGGAAAGTAGGTTTCAAAGAATTTATCGGCTGCGCTGTAGCTGTCAGACACTCTTATGAGACTCTTGTTCAAACTGGAGAATTGGTCTTTTTCCTTTTTATAAAACGAGCCAGGACCATCTGGAATTACTTTTTGGCAATATTAGACCTCATGGCGGACACATAAAACTCAAGGATTTCGGCAGTGGCAACTGTAATGCGCTTGAACAGTTATCTATTTTAACCTGCTCAGCTGTTGACCGGATTAATTTGACCACGCCGTCAACAGAAAAAGCTTGCGACGACGAATCAGACAATAAATTCCAAGAAGCAATGCTGGATCATTATTATTTGACAGATTTCAGTATGCAAGTTATAGGTAATTTTTTTCACACATCATTTTTCAAGTTTTGATCGTAAATCTTACCCTTTGCATATTACAAAAGCTTATAAAAAAAAAACAAAAGCTTATAAAAAAAACGCAACTCAGTTCTTCTACCGTAAAAAACTGTGAGATCCATGTAAAACCAAGTCGGTTAAATAAAAAGATTGACTTGGCCATCGCATGAAAACGCAATATATCTAACAAGTAATATATATTATATTAAATTAGATTGTTTAGTGCGATGGCCAAGTCAATATTTTTATTTAACCGATTTGGTATTATATGGATCTCACAACTTTTTGCGGTAGAAGAACTGAGTTGCGAGACTTGGTTTTTTTTACATGTTTTGTTTTTAAGGGATCTCATTTCTTTTTGTAGATAATTATATCTAGGTACCTATCTACACTTATTATTCCATTATACATATTACAAATACAGGTACACTGATTCGTTCACTGCAAATGTAACTTTGTAATCCTATATATTTATATGGGATTACAAAGTTATTTGTGCAGTTGGTTTATCTAGAAAACTAAACCAAAAACGCAAACATTTTTTTTAGTTTTTCCTTGATCTATACACTAAACACTAATTGTATTCTAAATTTCAAGCTTCTATGTCTGCTAGAAGTGTCTTAGACTTTTGATGATCGGTCAGTCAGTCAGTCAGTCGGTGAAAAAATTAAGAAATTTTGACTAGTTATAATTCTTAAGCTGCTGGTTCAAATTGAATGAAATTCGAAATATACCGTGTTTATACAATGCCTGTTTTGTTACTGTAATTTCAGGCGTCTAGTTTTATCCACGACAAAGTTATAGGGGGTCGAAAATGGCCTAAATTGCTTCGAGAAAAGTATGGTACGGCCGTGCCGCTTTTTTGCTTGACTTGGCAGATCAAGTACTATAACTGCCTACTCCTGTCATAATCACTGACTCCTGATAGCACATTTCCCTAGTTTCGCGAGTCAGGTGTCCCTATTTGAGTGTATCCCTGTGTTACAGATTTTTTTCTGTTTTAGGTTATATAGCTGGCAACGTTGTTCATTCCCTCATAAATAAAATAAAATGCGACATATGTATCGGAGCTCTTTTATGCAGTCAAACTGACTCTTGCCACAAATTAATTAAAAAAAAAGATAAAGGTGGCCTTATCTATCCTTCGAGTGACGTAATAAAAATTTGTAAATTTACGGAACTTGTTGTACGGCAACATATTATGGTGAAATTAATAAACATAAATAAAAAATCAATCGGAGTTAAAGTATTGACAAATTTCGTTGAGAGCTCTTTGTTTGACACAGTCAGATTTCATGACATGGGACAATTTCCGTTTTCTAACCACATAACCGATTTAACTAAGGCTGTTATAGAGATATATCTATATATAAATCCCTTGTATAATATCCCTTGTACTCTCTAGGCTAAACTATGCCGATACGGTATATGGACCAAGGCTACTTTCGAAAACTGACCGAATAATTCAGAGGATCCAAAATGCTTGTGCCAGGTATATACACCACATTCCCTCACAAACGCACGTCAGTCCCTATTTAAATAAATCAAAGTTATTAAGAATGTCCCAATTAAGAGCACTACATTTAGCAACACTAATGTTCGGTGTCTTTCAAAACAAAAAAGCCCGGGTATCTATTAGAAAAACTAAAATGGCGCAAGGACGGTAATTTTAAGGACATTCGAACAAAATCAAATGTCCTTTCAATACCAAAACACACAACGGCAGCATTCCGTGGTAGTTTCCGATATGCAGCTACTAAATGCTGGAACAACTTGCCCCCACCTATCCGCCAACTAAATACCATCAGCCTTTTCAAGGTAAAAGTAAAAGAATATTTTTGTCACGTTAACATTTAGGGCGGATAAAATAGCTGCATTATATTTTCATAGTATAATATAAATATCTATATTGTTTTATTGTAAATTCTCATTATATTATTTATTATATACATTATATATATACCTACTGCATAAATAAAGTTCCCATCCTTTTTTCATTACCATTATTTTATTTTATTATTTTGATAACATCTTTCTCGAAAATAGAAATAAAGCGAACATACTATCCTCGCAGGCAAGTCCAACCTCAATGGGCATTGCTGAAAACCAACGCTACCGCAATCCTGCGATAGCATTATGTTGAGTCAGTGCCCTTTTCAGCATCACATCACTCATGCAATTGGTACATTTTATGACTGTTTTTGTTATTTACTTTTATTTTTGATGTTTTTATGTATTATTTTATTTTCTGTATCAAAACTGTATGAGTGTAAGTTGCTGAATAAATGCATGTCTATGTCTATGTCTAAATACCTAAATATTCAACTTCACTTCTTCCTGAAAAACTCTATGACACAAAAAGAAACTAAGCGGCAACTATTAAACAAATATATTATATTTCGGGGCAATAAAAATAACTTTCTCTTTTAAAGTTAATTTTTTAGCATTGCTTTGCTTATTCATCACATCGAATTATTTTATGTCTGATTTTTAACCCTTTGTACTTTAGAGCTCTCAACAAAATTTGTCAACCAAATAAAGTCTTTCCCCAAGATCTAATTTATCTGTGTACTAAATTTGATCAAAATTGCTTCATAATTACATCATTAATTTTAATACAGTAATTTAATTTTTTTTATTTATAACTTACCTAAATACAAACTGTTTCCATTCCCTACATAACACGAACACTCAACTTGTAGTTTTTATCGATATCGATAAAAAATTGTCAATCGCCACTTCACCTTACTAGTTGTTTACGCGTCTTCACGCCTTCACTACATGTATGTGTGAGTGAGCACGCGCCGGATTAGTTCGCTCGATTTTGCCTGTCATTTGATTGGCTTTTTTACATATTTGATTGGCGTCTTTAATGCGTGTGTGAGCGTGTACTTATATTTGCAAATGTAGTTGTGACAACAGGGTTCCGCCTACTGCCGACGCACGTTCTTTTACAAAAAGTGCATTGGAGCCATTCTAATGTCTTATTCCGTGTTCTGTGATTATAACTATCTAATTCCTGTCGTAATCTGTTCTTTTATGTATATAACTTAAACAAAATAATTTCGAGGTTTCACATCTGCCAGGCGTCCCTTTTTTAACTTTGTACATAGTTTGTTTGTACTTTGTTCATGCTTTTCTTTTGTTCATGTATTGTATTGTTTGTAAATATCTCAAGCAAACTCAAACGGCTCTTTTCAAAACCACCGAAGGTGTGCAATTGCATATGTGATACAATCTAAAGCGGTAGTATGCGTTCTGTGTGCTTTGTTAAACACGTCCTTGACAGCACTGCATATGAAACTAAAGAGACAGCTCAAGATTGGTGTATTTTTATTAAACTGCTAAAAACAACAAAATCATATCTTGGGCTTGCCCTAGTTTGGAGCCCTAGCTTCGCCACTGCTTACTGCTTGAACTAAAACTTATTATACAACCAAAATAACTTAAATATGTCATAGTCTTTTCTCCTTTTGGTATATTGTTAATGTGATTGTTCTGGCATTTTCTCGTTGAAAAAGGGGAATGTAATGATGAACAGGATTGACCCAGAATGTTGTACTCTTATTGGGCGTGTATTTATATACATATACAAGGTCAATTTTCAAAGAGTAGCCGTTATTTCAGTTTGAAAATACGAGTAAATAAGGCTTCTACTTTAATTTGAAATTATCCCAAACTGAGTGTGATTTATGGGCGACAACGTTTTCGCCCACCGATCGATCCGTACGAATGTGTGCGTGCTCAGATAAATCAGTAAAAAAATGCATTATCATGCATTTTTAATTTAAAAGATAAAAAGACAACATACAATTTGGCTATATTACTTATTCTAAACCTCCGCAAATTTCGCCGGTTATTGCAGAATAACCCTGTATAAGCATACGTCGGCGATCGGAGAATTAATAGTGAACTCTACTTTGGGAAGTGACTACAAGCAATAGAACTACGACATTTGCGAATATTTAAGAATGTTTCCAAAGAAACTTAACGATTTCGGTCGTCGTGGGTACACTTGGTGTGTTTGTCAATTTCTCACTTTAATCTGTAATTTTACAAATGACACCATGTATTGTAAGCTTGTTTGGAGTTTATATTAATTAATGGAAGAAACCGCAGTAGTATTCAGCATTGAACTTCAAAATAATTTTGATGGGATTATATATGATAAACGTTTGAAACGGCAAAGCATATTTGATTGCAGCGCGAAAAATCGCCATCAGTTGCTGACGAGCAGAAAACGAAGGTGAACAGGAACTGGTGGCGTGGCAGAGGGCGAGGTCGAGGTCGACGCGGGCGAAGGGGCCGTGGGCGCGCCAGTATAGCAAGCACGCGACCAAACGATAATGGTATTTATTGATTTGATAATAAGGTGCAATTTCTGTTTCATGAGATCACCCCGTCATTTTTTCAATTTAAAAACAACAGAGGGTATGAAATAGAAATAGAAATTTTTTTATTCAATGTAGATTATAACAATATTGAGTACTTTTTTAATTTACCACTGGTTCGCAAAAAAACCTCTGTCCTGGGAAGAACCAGCAAGAAACCCAGCGGAACTATTTTTTTTCCAATAATAGGTTACAATCATGTTTACAATTAACAACACAAGACAAATTAGAAATAGCTTTGTAGCAATCACCCTTCGCAGGGGTTATTATCATCCATAAATTCCTTAACATTATAATAAACCTTTTTATACAAACTTAGTGTAATAAAATTTTTGAACTTTGTGTATGACAAATTTTGTATATTTTCTGGGATTTTGTTGTAAAAGCGTATACATCGCCCCAAGAATGAATTACTGACTCGGTGGAGTCGAGTAACTGGTACTACTAGTTTGTGTCTGTTCCTAGTATTTACAGAATGAATATCACTTATTTTCGCAAAACTACTTTTATTTTTGTGTACGTACATTACATTTTCATAAATGTATTGAGAGGCCAGAGTTAATATATCAATTTCCTTAAATTTTTGTCTCAGTGACTCTTTTGGTTTTAAATTATATATTGCTCTCATGGCCCTCTTCTGTAAAATAAATATGATTTCAGTGTCAGTCGCGTGTCTTCATAGCAAAATACCATACGACATAATGCTATGGAAATAACTAAAGTAAACTATTCTAGCTGTTTCAACACTGGTAAGAGTTCTCTTTTTACAGCATATGCTGCAGAACTAAGTCTGCTAGCTAGTTTTGATATATGGGGGAGCCTTGAAGCTTTGCGTCCAGTGTGATTCCAAGAAAAATGGTGGTATCAACAAGACTCAGTTCCTCCCCATTTAAAATTATGACATGTTTAACATTAGGAGTTACGAATTTCATACATTTAGTTTTAGTTCCATTCAAATGCAAATTATTAACATTAAACCAATTGACTAACTTAGTTAATTTACTTCGTCATAATTTAATAACTGTCGTTTTAATTCGAAAATTAATGAAGTATCATCAGCAAATAATACTATACCATGTTTATCCCCTACTATGTAAGGTAAGTCATTAATATATACAAGAAACAGAAAGGGGCCGAGAATTGAGCCCCGAGGCACGCCCATTTGTACAATCGACCCGGAAGAACTCATACTATTTATGACAACTTTTTGCGTTCTGTCACTTAAATATGATATAATAATTTTAAGAGCATCACTTCTTACACCGTAGTGTTGAAGTTTCCTGATTAATGTTTCATGGTGAACACAATCGAAGGCTTTGGATAGGTCAAAGAGCACACCCAAAGCATCCTGTGAATTCCCCCATGCATTAAATATATATTTAATCAGCTCAACACCAGCATCAGTTGTCGAGCGACCCCTTGTGAAACCAAATTGATTTTTACGAACTAAATTATTTACATTAAAAAAATTAACAATTGATCAAGAATATTTTTTTCAAAAATTTTACTAAGTGTTGGCAGTACAGAAATAGGTCTAAAATTAGCGGGGTCCAATGTACTACCAGATTTAAATAAAGGTATTACTTTACTATGCTTCATTAAATCAGGAAACACACCAGATTTGATACTACTATTAAAAATAATAGATAGTTGAGGTGCGATTGTATCTATTATAGACGCAATAACTTTAACAGAAATCCCCATAGATCGGCGGTTGTCTTAATATCAATAGTCTTAAAATATTTTACAATATCTTTTGATGACACTTTATGTAATGTAAGATTCTTTGTACACACATTTACATTTTGTTTAAGTAATAATTCGGCGACGGCAGGAGAAGAATTCAGTAACTTAGTGGTTAAGATCGAAATATCAGTAAAATATTTCTCAAAAACCATTGCAAGATCCTGATCTGATTTAGTTAATTTATTGCTAAAAATTAACTGGTAGTTTGAATTGCGAGAGTTGACGTTACCAGTTTCACTATTAATTATACTCCATGTAATTTTAATTTTATTAGAATCAGTCTTTATTTTGTTGCTCGAATACAATGACTTGGCTAAGGAGCACACTCTTTTAAATATTTTGGAATATTTTTTTACATATTCCCTAAATTCGATGCTAGGATTATATGACCTTTCATTGTAAAGTTCATATAACCTTTGTCTACTTTTATGGACTCCTGCTGTCGCCCATTCATTAAATGTCTTGCAATTGTTCAAGGAGAATGTTTTAGAAGTAAAAGTATTATTAAATTCATTGCAAATGAGCTTAAATAATGTTCCATACAAAAAATTTGGATTATTTTGTTATGTTACACTAACTCCTCGCGGTGTGTTTTTGGGTTTTCTTAGTAATGGTTTTTATTTCCAAACACACAAACATAGTATACAGTGTTTTATCGTCACATATTAAGTCTGACACTCAAAATTATCCCTTACTGCTTCAATCATAGTGTTCAATATTTCACTTTGAACGTCTCACCATCTTTGTTTCGATGACTATGTAGCTAAAATAATAACCCGTCCATTCCATTTCTTATGTTCAGCAGTGGACTTTTATAGGTTACCATAGTTACCACGCTTTTTAGGCGGTTTGGTAACCGTAATTTTAATAGTTTGAGCTGTTATCAAGAATATGTTGCTGCCCATCTCCTCTTTCAGTTTCCCTCTGTTACCTCTTATGACATTCACGGAACGATTTGGAATTCGACATTTCAACCATATCGTGGAATATCTGAACATATTCAGCATGCTAGGGAGTGGAGAACGAAAAGCCGATATTCTCACATTGGTAATGCTGATCCATATCACAAGTCCGTGGAATTTGTATTCAGCATTTGTAAATAAATTTTCAGTTAGTTTTCAACAGTGGACTAGTGAGCAACAGCGTTTTCCGTCAGTCAGCAGACGTACTGTGTGTAAAAAAAAGGCGACGTATGTACATGTACCTGGCAGAAATATTTATTATTTAATGATTTTTCGTTACAGAAACACCGACATCCGACTCTGAGACACCAGAAGCGAGCAGGAAAAGTGTAGATCGTACACATAAACTAGTCACGCCTGAGAAGTCACCCACTAAACAACCAGAACCTGTTTCAAGTAAGACAATCAGTTTTAAACGTGGTAGAGTCACGCTGCAGCTATATTATGGTTGTAGCATGAATGGGTCGGCTCGACCGGGGAAGAACCACGCTCTCACGGAATACCAGCGTAAAATAACTATTTAATACTGCTGTGTTTCGTATGGTGAGTGTAGAGATCCTGAGACCTTTTTTTACTGGAAACGAGGCATTCTATCTTAGTCCTCAGTGTCGACAACGCATCTGCGTTTTGATTCTTAATCGAGGATAAATGTAGATGTCTATGGGCCACATGATCCACTTACCATCAGGTGGACTGCGTGCTTGTTTGTCACCCTTTTTCTAGAGTAAAGTAAAGTAAAAGTAAAGTTACAGCCTATATACGTCCCACTGCTGGGCACAGGCCTCCCCTCATTTCTGAGAAGGTTTTAGGGCAAGGAAGTGTCCGCCGCGCTGCCCCAATGCGTGTTGGCGTACTTCACATGTCTTCGAATTTTTTTCTTATTTCTTAGACATGCAGGTTTTCTCACGATGTTTTCCTTCTAAATCAGCACTTAATATTGCAATTAACAATTTCATTGGTGCCGGCGGGGATCGAACCCGGGTTACTCGCGTTCTGTTATATTTACAGCGAGCGTTAACCATCTGAGCTACCACGGCTCTTTTTCTATAAAAAAAATTATATTATGTTCGGCATGTTACTCTCATACTATATTTAACACTAAAGAGCTTCGATCAATTATATACTAGATTAAGGATCAGGAACAAAAATAAGTCGCACACGTGGCCACGTTTGCACACACATAAAAATTTGTCTATCTTAGAAAAAAGTTTAATAACATTAACAACTTCGGTTTATTGTAAACCTTATAATACTCAAACATAAACTTTAATCACCATTGCAAAATATATTTATTTAAGTCATTTCATGAGAGAAAGGTTAAAAGCAATAAGTTTAGAATGTCGCTTGAAAATAAAAAGTCATAGGTTACAAAAATATTTATTCTAAAATGAAACTTAAACTCTATAGTAATAAGGTTAAAACAGTATGTTGACATTTTCGTGCTTACTTTAATTTGGTAGTATACGTAGTTCTTGGTATTATATTTTAATGCTCGGAACACAGTGAGTATTGAAAGACGTAGAGTTGCAGAATATAAATATTTTAGGGCAAGGGTCGTTTTGTATGGTGGCAAATGTTTTTGACCGATTTATAAAAGTAGTAGGATTAAGTAGTTCATTGAAGGGTCGTCAATTTCTTTTTTAAATACCCTTTTTTTTTTTTTGTTTTAAATTTTTTTTGTGTTTTTTTTTTTTTTTTTTTTTTTTTTATTTTTTTTTGTTTTTTTTTTTTGGAAAAATAAAAAAAAAAAAAATTTTTTTTTTTTTTAAAAAAACCTCTTCTTTTTTTTTTTTTTTTTTTTTTTTTTTTTTTTTTTTTCCTTTGGGTTTTTTGGGTTTTCAGTATGCAATCATCTTTTTTTTTTTTTTTAAAAAAATAAATAATAAAAAAATGAATCGAATATATTCTCAAATTTTTGGATAGGTTGTATATATAGTTCTTCTCCTATTTCTTTCGCGATAATAGATACTCATTCTACACAGCGAAATGGGTTCTTAGGAAATTTACAATCAAAAAATATATATTAAATAATAATACTACTCCATGCATGTTTGTTCAAGAACAGTCGATGTTTGTTACAATAGTTGTTGCGTTGTAGCAAACATTGGCCAAACAATCATAATTAAGCTAATTGAATAATTTTTGCTATTTAATTCTATTTTTATTTTATGAATAACACTTAAAGATATAAACTTACCGAAAAAAAGATATTCCTTCCAAATTCTTTTGTTACGGTGGCTAACACAGTTTTTGCACTGCAGCATTTCGACGTTTTAACGTTGGCTATGATTGTACTATACTAATTTGAAATAAGACCACAGAAGTGTTTGTGGTATTATTTTTCTGGCCGTTTTTGAAGCGCTCATCAGGAATCTAGTATATTATTGATCGAAGCTAAAGAGTATAATATTTAGACATCCGTATTCCAGCCCCATCGTAAAGTAGTTTTAATACAATCCTATAACAATGATTCTGCCGCCGATAGTAAAAATTACATCTTACAATCTATACAAATAAATAAAATTGAAATGTCTGTTTGTAATATCAAAACAACAGCTGTTTACTAAATGTTTATGAAACTATATATGGTGTTATAACAAAGAAAAATTAAAGTTTTGTTTGTCTGTCTATTTGTTCCGGCTAATCTCCGACGGCTGAACCAATTTTGACGGGACTTTCACAGGCAGATAGCTGATATTATAAGGAGTAACTTAGGCTACTTTTATTTTAGTAAAAGAATTAGGCTTCCGCGCAAAACATTAAAACCCATTAAATCCAATCGTAATAAATTACACGCGGGTGGAGTCCCGGGGAACAGCTATTTAAATATAAAATAGACATAGTTATGAAACTATTCACAAGTTTTAGTTAGTTTTAAATTTTAAAACAATATATTCAGGCTTTTAAATTGGTCAAAAGCCTTGGTAGTTCTGGATATAGGCGCTCACCGTAAAAACCGACAGAAAGAAAGTGAAGGAAAATAAGCACGTGTACTTTACCATCTTCGGCTGCATCACCACGTACCATAGGATACGGGATAGTAGTCAAGAACTGGCTTATAATGATATATAAAAAACAAAAATACCGAGTAAACCAGCTTATTTTAAGTATAACAAAAGTATTTCGAAGACGTGAAGTCCACCAATTCGCATTAAGACAGAGCGGACACTCCTTTGCCCTTAATCCCTCTCAGAAATGAGGGTAGGCTTGTGCCCAGTCGTGGGACCTACAAAGCCTGTAACTTTATTTTTATTGTATTTCAAACGAATGACTTATTTTCGTTTTTTACGGAGCATTTTATGTCACCCCTTTTTAAATATTAATTAGTTTGAATATTCTCTAGGTATTGGATTATTAAGCAGTGGACTAAGAAAGCCCACGTTGTTGGTAACGCCGTCAACTATAGCAACGCCTCCAAAAAGCTTTGGATCTGACGGTAAGTTACTTCATTTTTTATGATGAGTTGTTTTTTGCCATATAACATTGTATTCTAACATCACGTTAAATTTCAAGTCATGACAAATTATAAAAAATAAATTATAGACAATAGCAAAAGTTGAAAGCGTGATTGTTGGATAGTTATAATATGTGTAATAATTAACATTGTCATAATTATAGTTTTAAATAAATTTAATTTTAAATGTGTTTAATGAGTTTAAATATTAATCAGGTTACATATAATAAGGTATGTAACACTAGTAACAGCGCTTAGTTTTTATTACTTTAAATCTTTTAAACTAGCGTAAATTTACGTAACGTAGGTACAGTTTATGTGTATTTTAAGTTCTTAGGGATTGTAAAATTAACAGTAGGTACATAAAACGTAAGAGGGTGATGTATTCGCCAACAAACTGCCCTGCAGTTTGGCGAAAGTTGTATAAAGAACAACCCACTGTATTTTTGTGTAATAAATAAATTAAAAAAATATGCAGGAAATCACAAAGGATTAGATAGATTAAATTATTAAAAAATAATACACAAACGAACTTGTATGTATACATATTATATCCTTGACCTTAAACAGGGGTTTAAGCGGGAACTTCGTTCCGCCGAGCTGCTGCTCCTGTATATCTTATTAAAGTTACAAAAACACTTATATTCCACCTAACGGTAAGTGGCTACTGCAGACTAAAGACACCTGACCACGAATACAAACAAAGAATGTTACCAAAGTATAGTCGAATTTGAGTACTGAGATGGAATAATTCACAGCCTGTCATTATTCTTGGTCTTTATACACTTCACACCGGAACACAGTAGAGCAAGCTGTTCGGCGCTAGAAATAGGTGGGCCTAGAAAATAGAGATAATGAAATTTCATAAATTATAGAGATAGAAAAATATGCCTAGACGGGCTTCTAGGATTGCTACAGGTTGTAGGAATCCTTTTGTAACTAATCAATAAGAAGCCGTTAAGAGTTCTGCCGTTAAGGCTTCTAAAAGAAAGCCATTACATTTTCTTTTACGCCAGATGTAAAATGCACCGACCGGCAACAAAGGTGCGAAATACAAGGGTGACAAACGAGCACACAGTCCACATGATGGTAAGTGGATGATGTGGCCCTTAGATATCTACATTTATCCTCGATTAAGAATCAAAACTACTACTACTACTAGACTAAGATGCAACGCCTCGTTTCCAGTAAAAAAGAGTCTCCGGATCTCTACACTCACCATACGAAACACAGCAGCATTGGCAGTCACAGGCGGGGGTCCACATTCCCCCCCTCGGACAGCGGTTAGATAGCTCAATAACGCCTAACAAGGCGACATGATGATTGGTAACAATGGCAAACCATAAACCATTATCATCATTATCCTGACGTTCATTGTCCTTCCCTTTTTTAATTAACTAACCCTGAGTCATCTGAGGCTGTAAGAGTTGCATAGACTAACAGCAAAAACATCTCGAAAATAGACAGCAGCATTAAGCTGGTATTCTGTGAGAGTGTGGTACTTCTCCGGTCGAACCGACCCATTAATGCTACAACCATAACATAGGTGCGGTGTGGCTCTACCACGTAGTGGTTAAGGCATGTAAAAAGTTTAAAAATATAGAGGATAATTTTCAGTGATGAACTTTAGTGAAGTAAGGAAGATAAATTAACCTTCTTGGATTTTTTTTAAATAGACAGTATTTCAGAATAAATATTGTTCATTGGCAAACATCGGAAACGATCGTATTGTACGTTAAAAAAAGGATTGACGAAAGTAATTTAGTTCAAAAAACCACTCGTAATATCAACTTTATCACAAACGAAGAAATGTCAATATATATGTCTAAGAACAGCAAATTAATTGAAAATCAGAATAGCCGTAGACGAGTCATACTGAGCTTTATAACCACCATTGTTTTCCAAGGTAAAAGCTTCTATAGTTCGGCCGTTCAGATAATGCGTTCCTGACACGTCGCGATTGAACTGACGACGTAACTTTGTAATGGCGTTGCAGTTACGATAAAAATATTTTTGCTGGTTGTTTACCGTTTTAACAATTGATGAGCATTAAAACAACATTATTATATCAATAATCAATGAATGTTATAATTTTGTGCCAAACTGAGTGTCAAATAACTTGGTAAACAATATTTTTCTAAATCTATACTGCGCTATTACAAGGTTATGTCAGCGCTTTATATTTGTAGTGCTGTGCTAACAATAACAGGCAATAACAGTATCGTAATCTGTTCTTATACAGTTATACTTGAATAAATTTAGTTATACTTTTACAGTTATACTTTATAAAATAATACGTTTTGTTTTTCTTTTTGGCGGAATCATCTAAAATATAAATTTTAAATGATTCCGCCAATTTAAAACGAAAATCTTAAAAATAACGCGGCGGTTCATTTTGGAGGAACGGTAACGAACTCAGTGTTATGTTGTGCCCATCACTAGTCGTGAATAACTGATAGGTATCAGGAACGCATTCTCTGAAAGGCCGAACTATAAGTATCTGTACTACATGGCCATAAGTTTTATTGCTATTAAAACTTTAAAGGTGTTTTGATTTTTTTAGTCCTTGATGGACAAAGAGAAATGTACCATGCAGCCTATATCGATTTTATACTTTGTGTAATCGATTTATTTTAGTAAACGTTATTAATTTTTTCCCTGTAGCTACTACTACACTATATTTTAAAAGTCAGGAATACCCTTTTTTATCAAAACCAAATCAAACGCTCCTGATGCGTACACTTGAATTTTCCAAAAAAAAAAAAAAAAATATTGAAAAATATTTTATTAACAAACTACGCGTACTAGGCTATTGATATGAAATAGGGAACCAGTTGATGTAATTCTGAAGCTAATAAAATAAAATAAATAACCCAGTTTCGATAAATATTTTCTTGATATACAGCTATTTATATTATAGTATATGTGCATTATAGTTATGATAGTGATATTTTTAGAACATAAAATTGCTTGGTCTTGGCGTGTCGAGAGTAAAGCACTAACCAATAACCTTTGCGTTATGAGGCGTGCAATACGAAATCAGTCGATGCACGATATTTATTCAGAAGTACCGTGAGAGTCTTGTAAATATCCTATAAAATGTGACCTAATATTGTCATAACAAATTGTACTTAGCGTCTCTACCAACGTTGTCGGCGAGTTTAGGCCGACCCGCTCTAGAAACTTCTCCTCGTAAGAAAGGACGCGGCAGGCCAAGGAAGCATGACAAGGAGAAATCCGTCTCCACGCCTGATTTGTTTAGGTATGGGCTTTTTATATAAAATTATAATTAATTTTTTGTTAATTTATTTACTTGTGTATTTATTTTTAATTAACTTTTCAATTATTCTTTTGTTCTTTATAGTTTCGCTGCCCCGCTTCCTATGTCTCTCTGCTTAACCTAATAGTTGACTGGGAGAGAATGTTTCTTGAAATTAAGTCCGCTATATGTATTTTTTGATCATACAAGTTTAAATAAATAAATAAGTAGCATACAATTTCATTTCTATTTTTTTTTTTAATTTTGCAAGTAATATTAGTTGTTTTTAAATCTTTTAGGGCTGCCTCCGGAGCTGAAACTACTAAAAGCGTGTCAACACCAGTGCCAGCTTCTTTCTTGCAGTACAGAGGACCGCCGGGAGAAGTTGGCTCTGACAGTGATTTGGCTCTTTCTAGGTTAGTATGACGCGAACTATTTTTTTTTTTTTGATATTATATACTAATGTAGAGTATGTTATTAGGTTAGAATGAGAACAGAAGGTATAACAAGTTCAAATTTACACAGAAATTTAGACAACATTATGTATTGCGCTCTTCTTATAAATTAGCGAGATCGTGGTGAACGAAAAACGTAGGTATATCCTTTCGAAAATGCCAAAACCAAAAGTACAACTAAACCAAGTAGGAAACTGACTGTTTATGGATAGGAACAACAATCACCAGAACAAAAATATCCGCTCTGCGGTTACCAACACATCGCGTGGTCAGTGTGGATATCGTTCTAGTAATCTTTGTCTTCTGGTGCTCTCTTGAAACCCCACATATCTAGCATTGGATTAAAAAAGGTTCTTAAAGAAAAATAATTCATTAAGTAGGTACCGATTTTCCAATCATCAAATATGTCATACATCAAATAATTTGTAGCCTGACTGATTATAAAAGTAAAACAATTTAATTATTTTCATGCAACTGTCATTTTTATTTTATTTATTTTGTACTTTATCCTATGAATAACTTTCATCTGATGATTGAAAAATCAGCCCTTAGTGATATTAATATAAAAATAATGTTTAAAAACCGTAATCGTGTAGTGGCGGTGAAAGAATATCCACTACCCCATATGGTTTCGTGGGCATCGTAAGAGGTAACGGACGGAATCTTCCTAAACACAACTTAAAATTAAAAAACCGCGGTTACCAATTCGCCTGCCAAGTCCACGCCTGCAAAAGTCCACTTCTTCAACATAAGAAATGGAATGAACGGATTATTATTTTAGCTATATAGTTATCGAAACAAAGATGGTGAGACGTCCAAAGTGGAATATTGAACACTATGATTGAAGGAGTAAGAGATAATTTTGCGTGTCAGACATAACTGTAAACACGTACAGGATCGCCCCCGTCACTACATCAGATTTGATGAACCACAAATACTCGCTAAAAACACCGATTCCTTTCAAGGAAGATTCGCGACGCTATTGAAATAAACAAATCCTAATTTCAATAGAGTAGGTGGCTGAACGCAACCATCTGCTTGGGATCTTATAATAAATTAAATCCCAACGCAAGCATACAACTGCAAGACTTCAAGATGTTATAAGTTCATACTGTGTAGATCGGAACAAAATTAAATAATTTTAATCTGTGGTAACCGCCGTTAACTATGACATCTGGACGTTGAACATCTCAGTCCCCCTGTGACCATGAAGGTTAGAGAACAGGAGATCGATCACTACATACGAAATCATAGTCGCCTGTCCTTGAAAATTGTAGAATTTATAGCGGCGCTGACGTCAGCGAGTAGTGACTGCGAAGTTAGCTGTTTATGAGTACAAGTAGATGAAGTTAGTTGAATAATGTACAAATTTTCTCCACGGCATTGGTGAGAAAATTTTCATGCTCCGTAATTTTTGACAAAAAGAAACATTAAAAAATGGAGGAATATTTTATTGTGCGTGGATGTGCAAGTGGTTTAGCATCTGATCGGAAAAATAGGCTGAAAATGACTTTTATTGACCGAACTTAGCGATCACCGCGCCTCACCTATGGTATCCATATTTCTGGGATACTATTTTCTACGGCGATCGTTCTCCTGTTCTCTAACCTTCATGCCTGTGACTATGGGTGTTGTAAAGTGCTCGAAACGTCGGTTATATAAAAAGTAAATGTACACGATTAAATCCGTAAAATTTAGTATTATTTAAATAGTGAAGTTAACCCACCGAGGGATCCCACTCAAATACATACAAATATTTCATCAATATCAATCCAGCCGTTTAGGATGAGTTTAGTGACAAACACACATACTGAAGAATCATATATAAAGGAGATAACGTGGGAAGGGAAAAGGGTCGCACCAGGACTGTAAAAACTACCGTGGCATCAGCCTTCTTAGCATTGTGGGAAAACTGTATGCTAAGGTACTGATTGAAAGGGTCATGAAAGAAACTGATGGAAAAATTTGGGATGTGCAAGCGGGATTTAGAAAGGGAATGGGATGTACAGATCAAGTCTTTTCCATGCACATGATCGCGGAGAAGTTTTTGGCCAAAAACCAAAAGGTTTTTTGTGCGTTCATGGACTTGGAAAAGGCCTATGACAGAGTGGATAGGGATGTGCTATGGCAAACACTGAACTCATTTGGGTTGAGCGCTAGCTTGATACAGGCATTGGAGTCTCTTTATAGGGACTCTAGTGCTTGTGTTAGGATCAACGGGGTCTACTCGGACTGGTTTGACATCCATAAAGGTGTCAGACAGGGTTGTGTGGCTTCCCCGTGGCTGTTCAAACTATTTATGGACAGTTGTTTGCAAAATTTGAAAGTTGAAGAATGCGGATCAAGAATGGGTGAGTTAACCGTTAAATGCCTTTTGTACGCCGATGATCAAGTTATTCTTGCATCTTCGGCGGCCGAGTTGCAAATGATGGTAACATTAATGAACAGATCATTCAAAAAAATAAAAGAAAGGGGTATGAAAGTGAACGCAAGTAAGACGAAGGTTATGGTTTTTGAAAGAGAAGAAAGTAAAACGATTTGTGAAATAAGAATAGAAGGGGAGTTGATCGAGCAAGTAGATGAGTTTGTATATTTGGGCTGCGTATTTAGCAGGGATGGGAGATATGATAAGGATATAGAACGACGAGTGAATGCGGGAAATAGAGTAAATGGGGCCCTGCACTCTATTGTGAAGAGTCAAAATGTGTCAAAAAAGGCACGTATGGCAATTCACAATGCTGTGTTGGTCCCTACTTTGACGTATGGTAGTGAAAGTTGGGTGTAGCAGAAGAAGCACGAGAGTAGAATCAACGCAGTAGAAATGCGGTCGTTAAGGAGAGTATGTTAGGGCTGAATCTGAACGACAGGGTAAGAAATTGTGTAATTAGAGAAGAGTGTGGTTTGCAAGATGATTTTGTGATCAGGATTAAGAAAGGAATGCTTCGGTGGTTTGGTCATGTGGAAAGAATGAATGAGGAAAGAGTGACAAAGAAAATTTATGTTGCAGAAGTGAATGGCAGAGTCGGAAAGGGACGTCCTAGGCGAAAATTTATCGACCAAATTGGCGATTTATTGAAAACGGGCCAAATTAGGAATACCCTTAACCGACGAGCATGTATGCGTAGGTGTATGGATGTGAAGGAGGCGAGAGAGGTGTGTCAGGATCGTGCCAAATGGAAGTCTGTAGTCTCTGCCTACCCCTCTGGGTGACAGGCGTGAGTGTTCATGTATATGTAACGTGTTGTTATAGATCTTCAAGTAGCAGCTCAGCGTGGTCACAATCGTGCTCCTCGTGCACACACTACGATGACGACGATAACGCTTCAGATCGCTCTTGTTCGTTTAGTTCTAGCGACGGGTGAGTCGTTATAAATGTTACTGGACTTGTATGCTGCAGGTATTTTACAATTGTGTAGTTGACATCATCATTTATAGATTCCTACATCATATATAAATTGAATTTGGAAATCTTAGCAGGGTCTCAGAAATTTGTCTATTTTTTGATAAAAGTTTTAGATTTTTAATTAGCTAGCTGGGATTTTACTTTTAAAATACGCAATTTTTAAAACCGAAAATGTATTTTACAGATTTGGATGCATGGACGATAAATTATTCGTTGGTCAGCTCGGGTATAAAAAAAATGTAAAGCAAATTGCGCATTGTGTCAAAAAAAAACCTTTTTATTATTTTTATTTCATTAGATTTGTAAACCAACTTCTTGATTGTTTTTACCTTCCGTCCCGATGTTTGGCCCATTGGACCTGGCAACACTAATACACATATAACGAAAGGCCCTAGCACTCGTACTATGGAATGTAGAAGTAAGGAGTACAAACTATGTGTTAAAAATGTCCATAGAAAACCGTTAAATAAGGGTGGCGTCACTATAGCTTCGGGCTAAATTTTAAAGAACGCACCGAAAAATATTAGTGGGATAGACGACTTTTTCGAGGTTATATTTACTAAATAAAATTATTTTAAATTTTAGAGCTACTGAGCAGTTTAGCAGCACACTTCAAACCGTCGAAACTGCTGAATTCATTTCATCCCATTAGTTACTCCAGCGCTGTTGTGGAGAGTTTTTGAACTGTTATTTACTGCTTACAGATGACCACTTTTTCAACTATTCTACTGTGGAAGTTGGTACTCCTTACTTCTACACTCCATAACTCGTACCTTGAAAAGCTGTCGGTGCAGTCAACGCCGTACTGAAAATTACAGATGCTGGCAGCCATTTTATTTATTTAAATGTCAATATGAATGTTGCAATCGACATGAAATAGATGACTTTTATTTTCAAATGTATATATTATATTATAATCTATGTATTGAAGTGTCGGTTTGTAATATCAAAATAGCCTTTTACTAAATGCATATGAAAGTATATACGGTATGTATAACAAAAAGAAAAAAAAATTAAAATGTTTGTCTGTCTGTTTGTTTGTTCCGGTTGATAACTGGCACTGGCAGGTAGCTGATGTTATAAGGAGTAACAAGCTACTTTTATTTTAGTAAAAGAATGTAATAAAAATTGAATGTTAGTATTCCGCGCAAAAAAATTAAAACCCATGAAATCAAATCGCAATCGCTGGAACAGCTGTTATGTAACTATTATATCATAATTTTTTAATTGACTTTACCTTAATTTTACATGCATTGTAGTTTATAAACATATGTTTCGGTTTTAATTTTTATATTGATAGCTAATCGACAATTTTGCTTTGCTTTGTGTATCGTTAATCGCCTCTTTTTAAATCGATTTAACATTGCTTCATCTCTAGGCACGTCAAACAGTAAGTTGTCACTCGCACCATGTTATAACGCAAATACTATATATTATACATTATACATATATTGAGTATGTGAATGCTTTTATTGACATTTTGAAAACATTTCATGTATTTTAAAGCAGTTAATACATTTTAGCTTCTATAGTATTATATAATAAAAATGGATATGTATAACTTTGTTGCATCCATCCAATTATATACATGAGTCTAATACTTAAATGGGATACAGATACCACCCAATTATACATTAGAAATCCAATAAATTTGTTACTATCATAGTAGTTATGTTGCCAAGTAGAAGTGTGCCAGACTCGTTTTTATCGTTATAATAAACTGCAAATAATTCACTTATAACAAGTTGAAGAATTGGCTTTTTAATAATTATATTTTTTTCTTAGTCGGAGCCGTGGTAGCTCAGATGGTTAGCGCTCGCTGTAAAGTTCACAGTACGCGAGCAAACCGGGTTCGATCCCCGCCGGCACCAATGAAATTGTTAATTGCAATTTTAAGTGCTGATTTACCACGTGCTCGGCGGTGAAGGAAAACATCGTGAGGAAACCTGCATGTCTGAGAAATAAGAATAAAAAATTCGAAGACATGTGAAGTACGCCAACACGCATTGGGGCAGCGCGGCGGACACTTCTTTGCCCTAAAACCCTCTCAGAAATGAGCGGAGGGGCCTGTGCACAGCAGTAGGACGTATGTAGGCTGTAACTTTAACTTTTAATTTTTTCTTACAAATATTTTTTTACTTGGGTAAAAATGTCTGCTTTATAAAATTTAATACCTAAAAATTACTTAGGGCCTCTAGAGCTTAATTAAAATGAACTATGCACAATAATACATATACACAAGTTTTATATATAAAACTATATCACAAGTTCCATAAGTTTCTTACATAGTAGATTGTTTGCAGTATAAAATAAACTCTATGTATATGCATATAAGGTCGAGCTACAACGAGACAATGGAGTCAGCGCTAGAAGGTGGCAGTGGAGGCGAACGGCGCCGCCGAGGCAGACGCAGCGCAGCCGACCATTCGGACGGTGAAATGCCGTCGACTCCAGTAAAGGTAATGGTGGTTAATATAGCGCATAGCGCCATATTATAGCGCGCTATCTCTCTATAACACATAACGCGTGTTATGTAAGTAGTCGCCATGGAGCTATTGCGTTATGGCCCTTTGGCGCTATGGCGCTTTGGCGCTATTAAGTATTTATATCTAGCGGCAACTAGTTCTAGCTGCAGCGCTGTTGGGAGATGACGTGTGACGCAAATTTGATCTAGTAACGCGCTATTCATCGCGCGCGACTTAATTTAGTGTTAGACGTTGTTTAGTTAGTATATACTGTATATTTATAAGTGATCGAAGGACACAGTTGTCTTATAAAAGAAGCCTAACTAATGTTTTTAAATGTAAATAAAATATACATACAAAAATGTATATAATAGTGTATGTAAATAGTTGATTTTTATAAATACAATCAATAAACTTTTAAATACACCTTTATTTGATTTATAATTTATATTAAAGTTAAAATAACGTTTACATCAATTTTAATAAAACATAATTAATTTTGTTTCGTTTTAAAAGTGTTTTAGGACTTAAAAATATTTTAGGATTATAGAAAGTCGTAAGCCTTAAAAATAGTATGAAAAAGCGTTCATTGTTTTTTCTTTACCGCTTTATTTTATTTTAGTCTAAAATGCGACTTATTACAAAATAATGTTCTTATATAGCACGCGGTCTATCCAATGAACGACATGTAATGTAACGTGCTACGAGATATAGCGTGCTGCAAAACTTAACGCGCTTGCCGGCCTCCTACACGCTTTCTTATAAATAGCGCGCTATAACATAGCGTATTTAATAGCGCGCTAGAAATTTATAGTTTATAGTCTGTAGCGTGCTATTGATTTTCAGTCGATTTGAACAATTTTAATCAAAGGTAACACTCACTGAAATTCTATTACATTTTCAACTACTGTCAATGACCGTGTATTAGCAGTGCATGAATATCTACTACCCCATATCATCCCATGGGTGTCGTATGAGCATGGGAATCGGCGTCTTTCTAATAACAGAAATAAAAAACCGCAGTTCTCAATCCTTCTGCCAAGTGTGATTATTTTGGAAAGTATTTACCCTATGGAGGAGGCTTATGTTCAGCAGTCGACTTTAAATAATCGATGAATTTATAAATATCGTCGAATCGAATAAATGATCTATGGTTAATGAAAAAGTGACTTTCAATATGTAATATATATAACAATAATCTATTTAGAATAAAATCATTCATTGCATAAGCTGCAAAAGTAACAGTATGTCAATCAATATGTTCAAAAATATTGTACATTGATTTATTTATTAATTTTTTTTATAAATTCGTAGTGACAAACGAAATGACAAGACATAAATATTCAAAAGCTGAAAGTAACCCGGATTAACTATGACATCGAAACATCTGAAACTTAAGTCCCTCCGTGACCATGGGTGTTAGGTGGTACTACCAATTAAAATTAGTAAAAATATGTCGAATAAAACGCGATAAAATCAGTAATATTAGTTATATTAAATGACAAACGCCCTCCTGATAAAGTCCACCCAGTAAGTGGCAAGTCCAACTTCACAGGCTACAGTTGCATTGTCGCCTCTGTGGACAAGGATGAAATGCCTTTTTTTTTGCGGATGGAAAATTTACTTTCTCGGGTGGACGTAAGGGAGTGTCAGACTTTTATGATAATCAGGGTGAATAACAACTAGTAATTGTAAGAGCCGTGGTAGCTCAGATGGTTAATCAATCAATCAATACAATCGACTGCCTCGTTGGTCTAGTGGTTGTAGTAGTGCGGCTGCTGATCATGAGGTCCTGGGCACAGAATAAATAATACTACTGCATACAGAAGCTTCACTCTTTTAATGGTGACTGCTTGCCGACATTTAATAGCCTACATAATTATTATTAATTAGATAAATCGCGCTCGCAAGCTAAATAAAACTTTATCGCTGCGCGAGAGTGTCCGTATTACTTTGCACATTTTCCTCTTCCTACGTTACGGTGGACTTACCGTTGTTATGGAGGGATGTCAATAAAGAGTAACAAAATACATTGCGAAATATTAATTAGGTTACTTAGGTGAACTACCTATTCTGATTATGATTGACAGACCATATTTTCGCACCTACGTGAGTTCTGCGATGCCTAACGCATGCAACATGCAGGGCCATTCGTCGGGAATCATGACGCTTGGCTCGGAAGGAAAAGATAGATAGTGTAAACAACAAATAAACTTGAAATACGATTCCAAAAACAAAGTTTTGATTTCAGTGTTTTGTGTTATTTTAGCTTAAAAGCTTAAAATATTTTATTAGCTTAAAATATTTTAATACAAAAGGCAAGTATATGTACGTAAGTAGATACTTGGATAGTGAAGTAAATTTCTACTAAATTTTGTAATAAAGTTCGTAGATATTAAATAAATTATTACTTAATTCTTTTTTTGCTATAAGTACCTATGTAACAATAAAAATTAAATAAATTCTCGTTTCATAACTTCCTACCAAAATCCTTCGGTAATAAAGAATGATGATATATCTGAAATATTTTGTCGGTCATTTAGCGTCTATCCACGCAACAATTATAGTAGGAACGACGTTTTGCCATATTAAAATTTGTTAAATAATGGGTAATATACATAATATATAGTTCTTAAATTACATTAAAAATTTTGAACTATTTTATCCTATAATTAAATATACTAAACACTAAACAAAAACTATTTCAACAATATTTACAAAAAGTTATATACGTAAACAGCGTTAAAAAACTTTAACATTCAATCGCCTCCAACGCGCTAGCCCTGACTGCGTTATTTCGCCCGGGCGCGTCACGATTTTAGGTAATTATTTCACGTAGGTAGCAAGAGTGACAAGAGGCCTGTCCTGGGTTCGAATCCCGGGTCGGGCCAAAAAATTAATTATTGAGTTTTTCCGTCAAGAAATTCTCAGTAGTTGCCCGGAGTCAGGAAGTGGCTTCTCACGCCCGTGCCTCGGAAAGCACGTAAAGCCGTTGGTCCTGCGCCTGATCTCTCTCCGGTCGTGTCGGTTTACCGTCGCATCGGACCATGAGAGTGAGGGAAGAGAGAGTGCACCTGTGATTGCGCATACACTTGGGCACTATAATCCTGTCCTGCGCCGATGACTAGTTTCCGTTGAGGCAGGCCGTCGTGGCCGAAAATTCGGTCTGGTTGGAGGACATTATTAATATTATATTATACAATCGACTCATATTTTCCAACCAATATTATAATAAAATGTATTTAATTAATTCTGATTAGGGTCGTGGCACAAGATCGTCCACATCGAAGACACCGGTAAAGAATACACAATCAACCATTCATCTCGAGCCGCTACAGTTGGTGTGGGCGAAATGCAGGTTGGTAATGTTTCCTTAATCTCACCTTAGCCTGAAAGTAGCCCAATGCGGAACATAAGCCCATTTCTTTTAAGTACGATTTGGATAATTGCAACATTTGCCTGATGGATTAGTGATTGCATTATGCGCCTATGATAGTATAATTAGGTAAATAGGATAGTAATTTATACGTGTAGAGCCATGCTGCAGCTATACCATGTTTGTTGCACGAATGGAGAAGGATCACGCTCCCACAGAATACCAGCGTAAAATAGCAGCTTAATGCTGCTGTGTTTCGTATGGTGAGTGTAGAGAACAGGAGACCTGTTTTACCGGAATTGAGGTGACGACGCATCTTAGTCCTCAGGGTGACAACGCATCTGCATTTTGATTCTTAATCGATCGAGGTTAAATGTAGATGTCTACGGGCCACAGCATCCACTTACCATCAGGTGGACTGTGTGCTCGGTTGTCACCCTTATTCTAAATAAGCCTATGTATTTGAAACTCAGTTATACAGGTGCTTATGTCAGAGGTTGTAAGACCTTTATACTTTTTACCTTAATGATTATTATGATACGACACCAACTGAACGAGATGAGATAATGGATTTCTACACTATGTTACTTTTTAAATTATTATGTTTGTTTCTTTTAATAGAGGCTACCCGTGGTACCCAGCATTGATCATAGACCCGAAGATTCCAAAAGGTTTCATATACAATGGAGTGCCTTTACCGGTCCCACCTCAGGATGTTTTGAATCTAAAGAAGAATCATTCCCACGAGCCAATATTATATCTGGTATTGTTTTTCGATGTCAAACGCACCTGGCAGTGGCTCCCTCCGAATAAATTGGAGCTTTTAGGTGTAGATAAAAGCGTAGACCAAGCTAAACTAGTCGAATCTAGGAAACCCACCGAGAGGAAGGCTGTTAAGAAGGCATACGGTGATGCCATGCAGTTCAGGAAACAAGTGGACGGAGAAGATAAATGACAAAGGTTTAGATATAGGTCCCGGAGACCACTGAGGGGCAGAACGTTCAGTTTTGGCAACTTCTCCGCAATGCGTATTAGGACACCAATGGACACTACGGATTCCAGTGATTGAATATCTGAATAATAAATAAATATGTATTTAAATACAGTTCGGAGTGACCCAGATTTAATATAAATTATCTCTCTCTAATTCTTTTAGTGCTTTTCTTTTCCGAATAATCAATTTTATGTATAGTCCGTAAGGATAAAGAATGGGATTAGAAATAGCGGCTCATCGAGCCCGTACCGTCAACATGCACAGTACTAATAGCGAAAACCCGTTAATAACGGTTTATCGTTATATTATTCAGTTAATTGTAAATTTTCTATTAATGGGAAAATATTTGAAAATAATTGTATACCCAAGTAGGTATATTAATTTTAAAATAACATTTATAACTAGCGACTCGCTCTCGCTTCCGGGTGGGATCTGTTAATGTGACGTGATTAGATTTAAAATAATCATTAAAGACAAATTGTTTTATCTTAACAATATTTCTATTTTAATAATAACGTAACATAACATAAACACTCACGCCTGTCACCCAGAGGGGTAGGCAGTGACTACAGACTTCCATTTAGCACGATCCTGACATACCTCTCTCGCCTCTTGCACATCGATATACCTACGCATACATGCTCGTCGGTTAAGGGTACTCTTAATTTGGCGCATTTTTAATAAATCGCTAATTTGGTCGACAAACTTTCGCCTAGGACGTCCGACTCTTTCATTCACTTCTGCAACATATATTTGCTTTGTCAGTCTTTCCTCGTTCATTATTTCTACATGACCCAACCACCGAAGCATTCGTTTCTTAATCCTGGTCACCGCATCATCTTGCAAACCACACTCTTCTTTTATCACACAGTTTCTCACCCTTCACTCAGATTCAGCCCTAACATACTCCATATATTTTAATAATATTTCTAAATTTTTCGAATATTTTTTTTATCTAGATCACTGTCGGTATTATTTGTTTTGTTTGTATTTGATGTGTTTGTGTGTGATTTGTACTCTGTATTTATTTATTTATTTATTGCAATTGGTTCACACATTCTAAAGAATAGCTCAGACAGACAGACGGACAAAAATTTCGTGTATAAAATATTTACTCGTGTAAATATATTATACAAAAATATACACAATCAACATTAATAATGAAGAAAACTCTCAAACGCATTGTCAAATTCTCAAAAGCGGAATGAATTTTTATGATTGTTTAAATGTGAATTATTATTGATTGCAATGACAAGTTGGACTGGAGTTGTAGAACGTACCGAAAAACGCATGTCGGAACGTATGTTTTTGCAGTCTACGGGTGTGAGTAGCGTAGTGAATAAAAGCTACGCCATTTTTAATCCCATTCTTTAGCTACACATGTAGTAAGTGTGGTATTTTATGTTGTAAAATTATATTTAAGAGAATATTTGGAAATAAATTTTAAAATAGTGTCGGGGGTGTACAAATATCGTTATTTTAAGAAATAAAAAAAATTACACTAGACCAGTTAAAATATGTTTTGTTTGCTCACATGCCTTATAAGGTTAAAATAACTGGACAGTTTTAATAGTTGAACCTAGTTTTAAAAACTATTTATAGAATAAGAAAAAGAAAACATAGGAACCATAGCATTACTAGGATATATGTATGCAGATTGTATCGTAAAGAATATTTGCTCTAGTGTCATTATCCAGAGGAAAAACAGGAATATGTTTGTATGGACTAAACGTTGCCAGGATATCCTCTTTAAATATTATAATGTCTAACGCAAAAGATAAAGAAATCTTCAGTTGAAACATTGTATAATATTAAAAATCGAAAAATTTTTGTAATGTATTTTTAACTTTAATCAAATAACACACTCATTTGACAATGGCATATTAATAAATATACAATTTTATAGCATAATCACCTATTTTATCGATAAAATAGATGTTAAGTAATCATGGAGCTTGCCTTCAGTGTTTTATAAAAAAAATGATCATCAATTCAGTACATAATACAAATATTTTCATTTGTTAAAATTTGTTTGGCGAGTATAGAAGGTTTATCAAGGAGAACTCGTAGTATGAGATCCTAGCAATCGGTTTTAAATAAATATTATTAAAAATAAATATCTGTAAATCTATTAATATTAAGTAGACATAAAGTCGTGATGTTTCAAAAGACGTTTAAAAAATTTACGTTGAATGACGAATATGTAAACGCGTCGTACTTGTCCACGAACAACTCGGCGACTTATTCGTCCGATAATCTAAACGTGCTATCACAATAGCGTCGCTGTCGCTTAAGTATCACACAGAGTTTTGTGATACGAGGCTCACAGTTGTTGTCAAGCGTGAGGCTGGGCGGACGAAAAGATGCGGCGGCCATATTGTCACCTATAGCAAAAAAATTAAATCAATTCTTGCCTAACAGACTTGCGAATCAAGTGCTCGCCAACCTTTGCTTGACTCGCAAGAGGTGGTAGAGCCATGCTGCAACTATATACTCGTATTATAGCTGTAGTGCGAATGGGTCGGATCGACCGGGAAAGAAGAACAACGCTCTTACAGGAATACCAACGTAAAATCGCATTCTTTCTTAGTCCTCCGGGGCAAAATATCTGCATTTCGATTTTTGTGTGTGTATGCTCGATTGTCAACGATACTTGCATCATAATAAGGTAGTTATGCTGGTAAAGTTATGTAGAGAGCTTCTGTGGAAAGCTGTACTTCGATTACTATTATAAGTTGGTAAAGACGATAATATAGCATGCGTAGTATATTTGCTTTGTCACACTGGACAAAAATTCTAATTATAATGATAATATTTATCCATCTGAATTAATGCCAATGATCATTGACAAATAAAAAGTAATGTAGTGGTAGTTTAAATATTTAAAAAAAAAAGATATTTTTACAAATCACCTAATCAATACATAGTACATAGTTTGTAATTTTGAAGTGTATGGTTGTTGATTGATAATAAATAAAGTAGTAGGTATTGGTTCTAGCATAGTAAATAGAACATAATGAATGTTTTCATAATAGTGTGCGTCTAATATTTAAGTGTAACGCCTAATATTTTCAACCGACTTCAAAAAAGGAGGAGGTTCTCAATTCGACTGTATTTTTGCGTGTTACCTCGTAACTTTTTTCTAGGTGAAACAATTTTGATGATTCTTTTTTTTTTTCATTTCAAAGCTGGTGCTTCTCTTCTCTACTTCTCTTGTGGTCTCAAATAAATTTGATCAAGGCCTGACCAGTAGTTTTCGACTTATCCTTAATAATGCGTATTTAATTGACTTCGACTACATTGATGATTTTCTCATTTTATTTATATTGAAGTTGATTGTACAAAGTTTTTAATACCACTTGTTCTAAAATGCTTAGCCGAAGTAACCTCGTTAATTTTACGAGGGTGGATTGAAAAGTACTCGGCCTAACACAGATCCATTCAATTCTAAAAATCAAATCTACCCACATTATTTAGTTCAGTTCAGACTAGTTCATTGTGTGAAGTTCGAAACGTGTGCGATAATTAGTTGTGATTTTATAAATTTATTAACAAAGTAATCGGACATAATTTCCGCGAATGGAGCAAATCGAGCAGCGTGCCGTCATTAAGTACCTCCATAAGAAGGGGCTATCATCAAAAGCCATCCATGATGACATGGTCAGTACATTAGGCGATTGTGCTCTGTCATATTCATCCGTCAAAAAATGGATAGCAGAATTTAAGCGTGGTAGAGAGAGTGTGAAAGATGAACCCCGCTCTGGAAGGCCTTCGACGTCAACTACTGACGAAAATATTAAAAAAGTACTTGATTTAATAATGGGAGACCGCAGATTAAAAATTAGAGAGATAGCCGAGATTATAGGCATCTCTTATGAACGAACTCAAAACATCATTGTCAACGAGTTGGGTTTCCACAAGGTGTCTGCGAGGTGGGTTCCGCGACTGCTTTCAGTTGAACAAAAAAGGACGCGATTGACTATTTCACGCGACTGTTTGGAGTTATTTGAAGCCGATGCAGATGATTTTTTGAATCGTTTTGTTACTTTGGACGAAACATGGGTTCATTACTGTACACCGGAAACAAAACAACAATCAAAACAGTGGAGAAGACCTGGTTCACCACCCCCTAAAAAAGGCTAAGTCGATTTTGTCGGCAAATAAGGTGATGGCTTCAGTATTCTGGGACTCGAAAGGTGTGATTATGATTGATTATCTTGAAAGGGGTCAGACTATAAACTCTGATTACTACTGCACCTTACTACGTCATTTACGAGAGGAAATAAAAGAAAAACGTCGAGGAATGCTCAGAAGAAAAGTCCTGTTTCATCAAGATAACGCCCGTGTTCACACGTCAGTACAGTCAATGGCTGAAATTCACAACTGTGGCTTTGAACTGTTACCGCATCCGCCGTATTCACCTGATCTGGCACCATCAGACTTCTTTCTGTTCCCTAACCTAAAAAAGCACTTGGGAGGTCAAAGATTTTCGACAAACGACGAGGTCAAAGCAGCTGTAGACGCATATTTTGTCTCTAAGGAAGAATCATTTTTTTTCAACGGTCTAAATGCTTGGAAGGGGAGGTGGCAAAAGTGTATTGAACTTGATGGTGATTATGTAGAAAAATAAAAATATAACTGATTTAGTACGTGTTTATTTTCTTGGTTAGGCCGAGTACTTTTCAATCCACCCTCGTAGTATACAACTATATATGGTAAGGTAAGCGAAAAATATACAATAATACTAGTTAACATTAAATAGAACAAAGTCATTTAAATTTCCTGATGTTTGGAGTGCTTTTTGCATTCCTCCGGTTTAGTATTCAAGGGTATAAGAAGTAACAAATTTATATCAGATATAATAATAAAAGTATACTTACATAATTTTACGTTTATAAAGAAGTTAAATTACTTGCGTTTACGAAAGATATCTCAACAATTGGGTATTAGTTTTCACATGG